GGAGAGAAGAGGAGAGAAGAGGAGAGAAGAGGAGCGAGGAGGAGAGGGGAGGAGAGAAGAGGAGAGAAGAGGAGAGAAGAGGAGAGAAGAGGAGAGAAGAGGAGAGAAGAGGAGAGAGGAGGAGAGAGGAGGAGAGAAGAGGAGAGAAGAGGAGAGAAGAGGAGAGAAGAGGAGAGAAGAGGAGAGAAGAGGAGAGAAGAGGAGAGAAGAGGAGAGAGGAGGAGAGAAGAGGAGAGAAGAGGAGAGAAGAGGAGAGAAGAGGAGAGAAGAGGAGAGAAGAGGAGAGAAGAGGAGAGAAGAGGAGAGAAGAGGAGAGAGAGGAGAGAAGAGGAGAGAGAGGAGAGAGAGGAGAGAAGAGGAGAGAGAGGAGAGAAGAGGAGAGAGAGGAGAGAAGAGGAGAGAGAGGAGAGAAGAGGAGAGAGGAGAGAAGAGGAGAGAGGAGAGAAGAGGATAGAGGAGAGAAGAGGAGATAGGAGAGAAGAGGGAGGGGGAGGTATTATATATATTATTATATTTATATATATTATATATATTATATATATTATATATATTATATATTATATATATTATATATATTATATATATTATATATATTATATATATTATATATATAATATATATATATAAATAAATATATAATATATATATAATATTATAATTGAAATTAGCCATGCGAAGTCGATTCCTCGGTAATGGAAGGCTTGCTGGATCTCGCTGGATTTTCATAAAGTTCTGGTGGCAAGAATGGTCACCTCCAATTTGGGACGGCTTGTACCACCCATTTCTGGGACATGGCTTTGCGTGTTGCACATGAAATTCAAGGCCTTGAAGTTTCCCATCGGACATTGCAGGTTGAGTGTGGAGAAGCCTTGAAGTCCTGGATGTCAACAGGTGGCCCAGATTTCATGAGATTCCTGCCTGTGGAATGCTGGGAACCAGCATTTTCAAGAACCAAAAGGGTGAGGATGGCCTGCCCTGAGAGCAATCCTCACAACATGTCAGACACTCATGCCAAATGAAGCAGTATATATACCCCTGGTTTTATTTCCTAGCATGAATGAATCAGGGGAGTACCCATTTTCTTCTAAATCATAATGACTAAAAATGCGGACCTCACAGGACCTCAGGACCTCACATTTTTCAATGTTGCTTCACATGGTTTCATTTTTCCAGGTTCCCCTGCGGGAAAACCTGGCCCTGACAGGTCACGATCGTTCAGAACTCTTTGTCACAACTAAGGCGTCAGGGTGTTGCAAGGGGGATGTCATTGGATGGGGCTTCAAGATGTCTTCAAAACTCTAGTTTCCTGATACTTCTTTCAGGATTTTGATGCTGTTTGTGTGTTTGAAACATCAACATGTTGTTGAGATGGGCTGTATCCATCTGCCATTTTGGGTGCACGCCAATTTCTCCAAGCTGTTTGCATCCTCAAAGGTACATCGAGATGTTTCTGAAGCAAAGTAGTAGGTCTCCATCACATGGAAATCGCGTGAAGCGAAAAGCATGGCCTCTGCTCTGGCTTGGCTTTTGGTATCTCTTTAAGAGTTTTGAACCACTTTGGAGCCTTGGTCTTTTGGGCCTTATCTGGGGCATCTCCTTTGGCTTCTCCAAGTCTGCGACCCTTGACCTCCAGCAACTGCTGGAGTTGTTACATCGCCATGAGGTGAAAAATCTCCTTGAAACCAGGGCATTTTGGAAGTGTGTGACCCTCTTCAATGCCATTTGTTGGGGAGCCACCTACATTTGCACCAAAGCTGGGATTGATGCCCTGGTCGAAGCTCAAGTGCCACAAGCTGCGGCAGTTTTCCAATTTATACGTGCCTGGGCTACTTCATGATTTGTCATGCGTTTCATGCAAGGGTTCGGACAAATTACAGTGGGGATGATACGATATAAACCAGGTTGTACAAGATACCTATTCATGTATTATATATATATACACCTAGAAACACCAGAGGCAAAAAAAAGTGCCTCAGGCCCCCGAGGCAAAAAATCACGCCGCATGAGTTGTGTTTTGCCTCTGGTGAGCTAAAAACGCCTCTGGAAAGCAAAAAACACCAAACACAAGAGTTTACCAAAGCGCTTGGACTCCCCATGGCCACTTTTGCAGTTGCAAAGCCCGCAACTAGGGACCAAACCCCCTGACAAACAGCCGCACATACTGCTAAGGATTTCCAATGATTTACCTATGTAATAAACGCTGCAAGAAAAACAATGCAGAAAACAAGCCCTACAGTCAATATATATGTTTTCGTAGTTGCAGATTTTGTTGGCTTACATCGACATTGTCCGTATTTGACATGCATTTCGACTGCGCAGGCTCGCGCAAAGTGTGTGTTTGCGTTCTGGGCCCAATCTGGGACGTGGCATTTTTCTTGTAAATTTCCGTAAAAAGTGGCTCTTCTGATGTCTCTTGTGACATGTGGACATGCATTTCGACTGCGCAAGCTCGCACAAGGTGTGTGTCCGCGTTCTGGGCCGTGGCATTTTTCCTGTAAATTTCCGTATTAAGCGGCTCTTCTGATGTCTCTTGTGACATGCGGACGTGCATTTCCACTGCGCAGGCTCGCACCAAGTGTGTGTCGTTGTCTTGGCTGTGGCATTTTTCCTGTAAATTTCTGTATAAAGTGGCTCTTCTCATGGCTCTTGTGACATGTGGACATGCATGTCGATTGTGCTGGCTCGCGCTAGGTGTGTGTCCGCGTTCTGGGCCCAATCTGGGCCGCGGCATGTATCATCATCATCATCATCATCATCACCATCATCATCATCATCATCACCATCACCATCGCCATCGCCATCTTCACCACCATCACCATCACCATCACCATCACCATCACCATCACCATCACCATCACCATCACCATCCTCCTCCTCGTCATCATCATCCCAGCCATCATCGTCATCATCATCGTCATCATCATCATCATCATCATCATCATTGCATCATTATTATCCCCGCCATCATCGCATCATTATCACCATCATCATCATCATCATCATCATCATCATCATCATCATCATCACCATCCTCATCATCATCATCATCATCATCATCCCCACCACTGTCAACACCATCATCATCCCCACGAGCGTCATCACCATCACCATCGTCGTCGTCGTCGTCCTCGTCCTCGTCCTCGTCGTCGTCGTCGTCATAATCATCATCATCATTTTCATCCTCACAATCATCATCATCATGATCATCATCATAGTTTTCATCATCATCGTCATCATGACCATCACTATCTTCTTCATCATTTTCATTTTTCATCCTCCTCAACATCATCATCTGTCTCCTTCTCTGCATCATCACCCTCCACCTTATCATCCTCTTTTCATCTTCCGCATTATGCTCCTCATCATCCTCATCATCCTCCTCCTCCTCATCATCACCGTCATCACCATCATCACCATCATCGTCATCATAATCATCATCATCATCATCATCATTGCATCATTATTATCCCCGCCATCATCGCATCATTATCACCATCATCATTGCATCATCATCATCATCATCATCACCACCATCATCCACATTATCATACATTCTCCATTTCCCCACACTGTTTGGGGTCTCTTGCCGGGTTAATAAGGTTTCCAAATGTGTCTCCGTGTAATTTCAGCCCAGCCGATCCCAGTTGCGCATCAGGTTTTGGCCTTTGTGCCCTGCTGATGCTTCCCTGGCTCTTGAAATCCAGTTCTCGGAGGAGCGTTTGGTGCAGCTGCAAGGTGGGAGGGCAGGTGATTTAGTGATTTAGATGGCGAAAGTTGTTGAACTTTCCAAACCCATTCAATTTTGAATCCACACTTTAGGTATCTTTAGCTATTGCGATTTTAAGTATTTTACCATCCATCTTACCATGTAATGGCCCGAAAATGGCTCAAAATTACAAGTTTCCTTTCAAAATGGACGGTCAAAGACTGTGACTAAAACATGAGAAACCTTGTGGGTCCCTTGGTACCCCAGTCTTGAGCCCTTGCCATGAAAATTTAAATTCCCTTCATACTTTTTGAGAAATTTCGGATACTTTTTTATTCGTGGGATTCATCACTATGAGGTGGTTAAAATCGATATCAACTCTAGTAGGCACAGATGACACGGGACCTTGCGGTCGATTTAGCTAGGGTGTGTGAGTTAGTTCACATGACATGTTCGCTGCAAACCCGACGTTTGCCCGCCACGGATCCCGCATATCCTTTGACATGCTCAAATCCCTTCGTAGGGCTAGTGTTTTTTACCTTCCAAAACCTAGAACCCTTAAAACCTAAACCTTAAATTAAAAGTTAAAATCGCTGCGTCTAGCCAGTGTTTTCATTCATCCTCTGGTGACAAGTATATGATATTGTTTGGGTGTGTTATTTGGGTGTGGGCTAACGTGGGGTTTGCAGGGGACATGTTGTGCATCTTGGAGAGCCCAAACAATTGCAGACGTCCTATGTCATTGGAGAGGTCCTATGTCGTATATATTTTTTCCCTGCACTTTACAGATGACACGGGAGTTTATGCATTTTTTTATTTTGCAGATGACATGGGAGTTTGCGTTTTTTGGGTATGTCCGACTACTCCCATGACATTTGCAGGTATCATACTATAATCCTTTGAATGATCCAAATCGCTGGTAGATCACCGTTTCATGAAGTTGTTCAACGGGTTTGTTTTTTTTTGAATGGTTTTTGACCGCTCAGGTGGGTTTACTGAATGCCTTGGCATATCTGTCGGTGTCCGTGGCCTATGCCATTGGCACCACCGGTTCCAAGGCGGCCTTCATGGCCTCCCTGCAGGCGATTGTGGTCACAGCCTGCAGCTGCGTAGCGGCGGGCAAGTGGCAGATGAGCACCGCCTGTTCTGCCACCCTGGCCGTGCTCGGCGTTGCCATCTTGGAACTCAAGGGACCCTTGGAGTCCTTGGAGGCCAATGCTGGTGACTTGGTGTGTCTGGGTTGTCCACTCTTCTTGGGCTTGGGCTGGTATGCTCTTGGCAGTGCTATGAAGGACCATATAGAGGATGCCATACCATCTGTGGCAATTCAGTTCGTGGTCTTTGCACTGGTCTTTGGGAGCTGGCTCTTTGTGAACATAGTCCACTCTGATGGTCCTCACGGCATTGTGGCCTTCTTGATTGAGTTGCCCATGATACTTCAGACTCCCAATCTCCTGGCACCCTTGTTCTTCTGTGCGACTTGCCTGGTGGTTTCAACATGTTTCAACCTCCATTTTGCTGGCGTTCAAACACCCAGAAGAATAAAATGTTAAATTCGAGCCGACTTTCTCATCAGTTTTCTGGGCTTCTTCTTGCGTTTTCCAACATCTCTTTTATTTTTCATGATGATCCCAACAAATGCAGACCAATGCTTTTGGGTGGAGCAGGTGGTCTTTGGAAGCGTGGCCACCATGTTTTTGGCCAACCGGGCCATGCAGTTCCTCTCTAGCTCCAGTGTCTCCTTGATTGTCGCCTCTGAACCACTTTGGGCTGCAGTGACGGCGGTGCTGTGCTTGGGGGAGGCTGGGGAAGAATCCAAGCAAACATAGGGATTTTACCAAAAAACCAGGGGTTCATATAAGAATAAACATTGGGATGAAAGAAGGGATTTAATCCAGAAACATGAGGAATCAACAGATTTTAAGTACGGGAATTTAGGCAACGTACATGGAAAGTGACACTTATTTAGCTGATAAACATTCGGAACCATGGGCATCTGGAAATCTAAGATGTCAATGGAAAACGACCTGGACCTTTCGAATAGAAATGTCATCTTGTCCACCAAGGTTTCTGTTAGATTGCCTCAGGGTAAATCCACAAAATTTAGCTACAGGGTATTTTGATGTATTTTGACTGATTTTATGGAAGATTTCATAGGGATTTTGGCGGACCTTTCGTTGGGATAAAAAGAAAGCAAGCATTGCCAGTTGTGACTTGCAAACAGTTTGAGCAGTTTCCCTGCAGGTCTTGGCTTTCGGGGACTACCTTGGAGGTGCTCTGATCATGGCGGCTCTACTATGTAACGAGCTGTGGGAAAGTCCGGGGGATGAAAAACGCTCCGCGGATGCGTTGCTTTGATTTTGCCGGACTCGAGTGTAGGATTTGTGACTCACTTGTGGTCGGTTAGTTTGTTGCACTGCAACTTTCGGAGATTCTAGATCCGGAATTGGTGGAGTCCGTGGCCTACCGCTAATCAAAAACTGATTAAAAGCAAATTACCGAAATTACGTCTGATGTTTCTTTGACAATATGGTCCACTTAGTGGTTGGAAAGTGGGTTTTGGGATTTCAGGAACCAGAATTTCGTTGGGATTTCCATGCCCCATGGCCCCATGGACTCCGCCGTGTAGTTTCGAAGTGCCCAAGCTGTACGGGTAAGGACCGGTGCAGTTGTGGCGAAGGGGTCACTGTAGGCGGCTCCTCCAAGAGGTTGCCATCAGTGGTCACTGATGTCGTTTTACATTTGCCGGAATGAACGACGGTAAGCTGCTGGGGAAACAGGTTGGGCCAACATAGTCTGAAATCCAAAGATCCGATAGATTTGGTGTGTTTTTGATAGTTTATCAATGTTTATCAAACATATATTCCAACTGGGATCATCATGGATCCACCAATCGTTTGTACATAGTCTGTACATTACATCAATTTCAAGTTCGCTGATGGCCTGACAGGTTTGGACCACAGATCTCTGTGACCCTGCAGCAGCGGTAAGGAGCGCGGCCACTCGGCTGAGGGCCACTGGTGATGTGAGGCAAATGATCCAAGACATTTTTCTAAAAGGACATTATTGGACATTATTGGGTTCAAATCCCCATTCTTCGGTCAAAATAAATCCTAAATAATACCAGAATTGATGCCTACATTCATAAGCTGCTTATAAAACCCACATTGCGGGTCAAATCCCAAGCTTTTTCTGGCTGATTCCCATTCGCACTGAGGAGATCTCCATTGAGGAGTTGGACCTAGGTGCCGTAGATTTGGTGTGGAGACCTATGGGTCACTGAGTGGGTCAGCGAACCATGGAACCATGGAACCATGGGTTGAAACATGATAGTTCTAACTTCTAACTGGTAGTAAGATGTTATTTTACCCAAGGTTTACTATACCCAGATTCTATCCATGGATGATCATGACTTGGAGCACCCTGGAACTTTGCTAGGGCTGCTAGGGTAGTATATATAGAATATACTGACTTGGTGTTTCCAGCCCACTTCCGGAGTTTCTCTGAGGTCATGGTGCATTGGCCCATGCCCGAGAAACACGTGGCGGCCTATCTGGCCTTAGAAGACTTGGTTAAGAAAGGGAAGGCCAAGGGCCTTGGCAGCTTGACAGCCAAAGGAGCCAAGTGAGCCAAGGGTCTGGCTTCAGAAGTCATTAGAGATTTCAAAAGGCATTCCCCCTGCATCGATTGATCAAGCATCTCAGGCATCTCAGGCATCTCAGGCATCTCAGGCATCTCAGGCATCTGAGGCATCTCAAACCTCAATGGGCCAACTTCTGGCACTGATTCACCCAGGGCTGAAGTGATCCAAGGCATCTCCAACTACAGCCCCGCTGACTACGAGGAGTTGATGAAGGTGGCCTCCATCGAACCGCTGCTTGGTGGCGGTGCCACATCCTGCCACGTCCACCAAGCAGCTCCGCCATGTCCTGAGGTTGGTGAATACCTTCGAAAACAATCCTCTGCTCTACCGCAAGGTCCGGAAAATCGCCGGGGCCAAATCACCTTTGTGATCTACAACTCCTTTGTGTTCAAGTTGCACAAGTCAAAAAGTGTGAGACCTTTCAAAGCTGCATGTTTTGCCAGGAGTGGTGTGACTACTTCCAGCAGAAGGGCGTGGTGGTTCAGGTGCCACTGCTATTTTTGGAGAGATGGAGAACAGATTGGTGGTTTCAAAGGTTTGAAATTTTAGCAGAGCTGATCCCAGTTGACTAACATTTTAAAGTATTTTAAATCCATTTTTCAAGTAAAAAGTAGTAACAAGTCATTTTTCAAGTTGGCAAAACTCGGGCAACGGAATGGGTTTGGACCCCGGCCTCAGCCTTGGTTGACGTTTCCAGGCCTACAAGCCTTTGCAGCGAGGAGGCAGCTGCCTGTGTTTTCGAATGGGGCAGACTCATATCCCAGATATCCCAGAAAAAAATGGTAGAAGGGGGAAACTAGGAGAGGACAGGTTGGAGGTTAGGTGGGAGGCTGTAATGTTTTTGTTCAATCTTGTAATCTGAAATGTTTGACTGTTTCTTTTTGAATATCTTGCTAAATGTTTTGTTGAGGTTGTTGTAATCATGTTTGGTTTCAATGAGGGTAGGTTTTGTTGAGGGTGTTTTGCTTGTTATGATTTTAGGTTTATGTTCAGTGTTTGTTCCTTATCTTTGATGTTTTTTGTGTTGTATGTTCTGGTGATTTTTTGTCCCTAACTTTTCTGGGACTTTCTGTTTGAATAAAGGTAGGATTTGTTGAGGTTGTTGTGCTTTAAACATCTGGATATGAGGGGAATGTTGCGTTAAGGTAGTCTATGGTTTCTTGGTGTTTTATTCGTTTCAGTTCTTCATCCGTTTTCTTTTGTTGTTCTATTTGTTTTGGGTCAGGTTTGTTCAGGTTGTTTTTATGACGTTGGGTTTTTTCGTGTCTTAACATTTTGTTTCTGGAATGTCAATCTTACAAATAGGACATGCAACCTTTTCTTTCTGTTTCCGAACTAAAAAAATGAAAGAGACCCCAAAAACTACTTAAAGAAAAAATACCTATATATAGTAAGAGGATACTATTTACTTATAAAAACTGCGGATGTTGTAAGAAAGAAATGACTGACCTAAAAGATTTATTGAACAATATTTTTTCCGCTGGAATTTGTGATGAGATATGTGATTACAACCTTCACTGTTCAAAATGTAAAGACTTAAACGATAAGGAGCGTAGATACATAGATTTCAATTATCATTTTGACTATTTTAATGATAAAAAACTGACGAGAGTAGAAAAGACAATCTATTTCTTTAAAACAAGGATGGAGAAATCACCTATTTATTTGTCCAACACGAACCGAACAAACACTCGGCAAATGAAAAGAGAAATTGATGTTTTAATGGATACATTCAAACTCAAGCAAGAATTCAAACATGACAAACTGTTCTTAATGGCGATTAAGTCTTTTGTGAAAAGGGAGTGGAAAACTACCTATCACTTCCTTAAAAACTTTCACGACCTTACATATATGACATATTGTAACAACAAACGGGAGTGGTGGTTTCCTCAAAACGATTGGACTTATACAATCAGAAATAGGGAGTTTAAGGTAAATGACATTTTGAAAATATTTTTGCGTGAATATGTTGAAGAACTGTTCAACGGTTATGAGAAATATTTGAACATAGAAGAAATACAAGAGTATCTACAAAAAGTGGTAAATACTTAAAGAAAAAATAACTATATATAATAAGAGAAAATGAGTAAAGCAAAAATTCAGGTTATAGATAGAGATAATATCGGTATATATGCTGACTTTGGTAGTGAAAGCGAAGATGAACACGAATGTGATAGACAAGCAATAGAAAAAGAAGATGAAGAGATTAGAGACTTTGTAAAGTGTCATCCTATGCCTTCACCAGATGATGAGGAAGGAGAATACTGGTGGTTTAAAGTAATTGATAGGCTGAAAAACGACCAAGGAATAAATGGAATGTTATTTTGTTCGCTTATGAGATTTGACATTATAAAAAAAATGTATGAAAACCTCACTAACAAAACAATTATCGTTGAATGTGGTAAGGAACTTAACCGTGATGGAAAATGGGATGCTATGGCAATAAATCAAACTCTATTAGCATTAGCAATAGATGAACTAATTTTAGATGATACAGACGAGCCAACTATCACAAGTCAAGTCAGGATAATTGAACACTGGTGGGATGGAATAGGAAAGTGGAAAGCATAAATGATTAACTCATAATATCTTAACAAAACATATTATGAAGTAATCACCCACCCAAACACAAACATAAACCCCAACAGCCTAAACAATTATCCCCCTCATCTTAAACCAAACCATCAAGTGAAAGTTAGGGGCAAAATAGTCCCAAAACCCCCACCACATAAAACATCAAAGGTAAGGAAGAAACATTGAACAACAACATAAAAACCATAACAGGTAAAACAATTCAACACACAGACACAAACCTAAACAAAAACATGACAACCGAGCAAGGAACAAACAAAAACAAAAATAATGAAACAGGAAACGATGAACACTTAAGAAGAAAATAGCCGCAGAAACCCCACCTGAAAAAAACATCAAAGGAAAGGAAGAAACATTGAACAAGAACATGAAAACCAGAACAGCCTCAACAAAACCCACCCTCATTGAAACCAAACATTATTACATCAACCTCAACAAACATTTAGCAAGATAATCAAAAAGAAACAGTCAAACATTTCAGATTCCAAGATTGAACAAAAACATTACAGCCTCCCACCTAACCTCCAACCTGTCTTGTCCTAGCTTCCCCCTTCTACCATTTTTTTCCCAGATATCCATAGATATCCCAGATATCCCAAGTGTCACCAACAGTATACCCCAAAGTATACACCCACTGAATAGTGGTTTCCCAGTCGTGTGTTCAATCCTTCGCCATTTTTGGGACAAAAGGGTACACGGGGCAAAGACGTATCCGGCTTTGGATGGGATGGGTTCGTGCAAAAATGGGTACCCCAAAATGGCAATTTCGATCTGACAAATGATGATCAACCATCAAAATTTGAGGGTATTCAGTTTTGCAACAAATTCTCATTACAAATGAGTGTTGCAACCGGTCTTCATTGAAAAATGGTACTAGCCAGGTCCCGTGTTGGACTCTCCCACTGTGAAGGGCATCGCGGAGAAAGCGAAAAAGACACCAGCGCAAGTTTGCCTTCGGTGGAATTTGGAGAAAGGACGACAGTTGCGATTGGTAGAAACAGCCATGAGACACTGGTGGGTCTTGAAACGCAAAAGATTAAGACCCTCGCATGTTGCTGAGATTTGTTCTAATGCAACGAAAATAATCTTTGCGTGGCATCTGCCAGGAAATGCTGTGGTATTTAAAAGCCTCACTCCTTCACGTATAGAGGAGAATGCAAGGGCCCTGAAGACTGTTCAGAGTTGTGTCTCAGGTGTATCCAAGGTGTAATCAAGAAAGCTAGCTTCTGCTACTTGTAGCTGCTTTTGCTAGCTGAAGTCCCTCTTGCTTTAGCAAGGTATTGGGGGGTGGAATCTCTAATCGCATGAAGCTTCATAGTTAACAACCCCCCTCTCCCCACCTGGCTGGTTCACATCTTCTCTTGAACTTTTAAGCCTTGAAAGACTCACAGGTGGACCATGGTGGACCCTTGAATCTTTTTCCTGAGTGATCACCACGCGACTGAGTGGGAATTTCCTCATGTTCACGCGCGTGATATTTTTGTGTTCTCTTCATATGTGACATTGATCCCCCTTCAATGTGTCCCGTTCATTCTATACTCTATACCAAAATATGGAAAGCTTTGTTTTGGACATAATATCCCTTACAGATGAGTTTGCGAGTATACTGGGTGTTTTCATGTCAAGCTCCCTGCCAAGCTTTCGTCACTTACCCGGCAAGTCTAGGTGTATCCGCCTGATCATCCCCAGATCCCACCGGAAGCCTCGTCCGAGGTGCAGGTCTTTGACTTCTCCTTGTCCTCAGAGGACATGGCCAAGTTGGATGCCCTCACCACCCCAGAGGTGGTGCAGGAAGCTCAAGGCGAAAAATCTGGTGTGACATACAGGGTGTAGTTGAAACGGCTTCGGCTTCGGCGAAAAAATATACAGGAGTTCTCCAAAACATCCGAAAACCATAGGAAAACCAGCCATCCCAGTCTTCATCTAATCATCCAATCTCCAAATTAGCAGGTCATTGGGAGCAACGCCGCAACGGCACCCCAGCGCCTTGGGGTCCTGGCTTGAGGCCACGGCGCGAGGTGGGGCTCAAACTTGGGCGACAAAATCACAGTTGCTGAAGGTCATTGATCAACTGTACGAAAAAAGTTTCTGCTAATTTGCCATAATTTGCCAATTTGTTGTGGCACCCATTACAGTCCATTCTGTGGATTTAGGCAATGGGTCAATATTCTGTAGCCCACGGTCAGGAAGAACTTGCTGCTCGCTGAGCTCGAGAGAAGAGATTGGTTGAAGAAAAAGATGTGCCGCTGGGTTGGATTGGATTGATTTGTGGACTGGGTTTATTTTCAATATTTTTCAATCAAGTTCGGTTGCCCCCTTGGGGATCTACCTTTATGTCACTGGCATCGTGAAGTCTTAGAAACTCCTCAGCTCCGTCCCCTCCGTGGTTGAAGATGCCAGTAGAGGAGCGCACTCAAACGACTCCAGCATTGAAGATGTTTTTTGATCACAAACAGTGGAGGATTTGGAGGATGGAACTGAGCACTCCAAAATTCAGAGACACTTTGAGAAGTTCTCCATGTTGGGCGCTGGGATGACATCTCCATGTCATCTGGCGGTCATCCGGATCAGCTTCAGATCAAGACAAGCTGCATGGCGATTGAATCAAAATGCAAGAGAGAAAAAACATGACCTTCATTTCGTCACACGAGGAAGATGGCTTCCAGCCCAACTTTCTGATCCAACAACTCTCCTCCGCCAAGTTCAGTTGCTTTGCCTTTGATTCACAGCAAGTGTGGCGCTGCACAGGAGTGGTTGAAGAATGTTGAAGAGATATGTTGCCAGAACCACGATGCGGTTGCTGTAACTTCCTATGAAAGTTCAATTCTTGAATTTGACCATTCCTTCGCCAAATAGACGAAATAATCAAAGGAAGTTGGGAAGCAATACTTCCGAGGTACGGACAAATAGAATTCTGAGTCTTGAAATGATGAAGGGTGGTGCGCGATTGACACTTGACCTTGAAGGGTGGTGTGCGATTGAGACTTGACCTTGAAGGGTGGTGCGCGATTGACACTTGACCTTGAAGGGTGGTGTGAAGGGTGGTGTGAAGGGTGGTGTGCGATTGAAACTTGACCTTGAAGGGTGGTGCGCGATTGAGACTTGATCTTGAAGGGTAGTGTGCGATTGAGACTTGACCTTGAAGGGTGGTGCGCGATTGAGAGTTGACCTTGAAGGGTGGTGCGCGATGGAGAAAGGGCGGTGCGCGATTGACACTTGACCTTGAAGGGTGGTGTGAAGGGTGGTGTGCGATTGAGACTTGACCTTGAAGGGTGGTGCGCGATTGAGACTTGATCTTGAAGGGTGGTGTGCGATTGAGACTTGACCTTGAAGGGTGGTGCGCGATCGAGAGTTGACCTTGAAGGGTGGTGTGAGACTTCACATGACCTTGATGAAGGGTCGTTGCAGATCGGATTGAGACTTGACCTTGAAGGGTGCTGCGCGATTGAGACTTGATCTTGAAGGGTGGTGTGCGATTGAGACTTGACCTTGAAAGGTGGTGCGCGATTGAGAGTTGACCTTGAAGCTGTGGTGGCAGATCGCATTGGAATGGCTGCATGAATGTCGCATGGGCTATGTTTTGTGGAGGAAGCTGGAGCACGAAACCGTGTTTTTTTCCGTGTCAAGTGGCTGCAGCCGGCGATGAAAGGTACCTCGTCTGTGCGGCGGTTGCGGCTGGGGTCGTTCCGGACGCGATTGGTTCCTTCTATGTGTTTTGCAACAAGTGCTTGTTCCTGTGTGCGTAGTTCTATGCGTTTCCTGAAGCTGTGGTTGCAGATCGCATTGTAAGGGCTGCATGAATGTCGCATGGGCTATGTTTTGGGGAGGAAGCCGGAGCGCGAAACCGTGTTTTTTTCCGTGTAAAGTGGCTGCAGCCGGCGATGAAAGGTACCTCGTCTGTGCGGCGGTTGCGGCTGGGGTCGTTCCGGACGCGATTGGTTCCTTCTATGTGGTTTGCAACATGTGCTTGTTCCTGTGTGCGTAGTTCTATGCGTTTCCTGAAGCTGTGGTTGCTGATCGCATTGGAATGGCTGCATGAATGTTGCATGGGCTATGCTTTGGGGAGGAAGCCGGAGCACGAAACCGTGTTTGTTTCCGTGTAAAGTGGCTGCAGCCGGCGATGAAAGGTACCTCGTCTGTGCGGCGGTTGCGGCTGGGGTCGTTCCGGACGCGATTGGTTCCTTCTATGTGTTTTGCAACAAGTGCTTGTTCTTGTGTGCGTAGTTCTATGCGTTTCCTGAAGCTGTGGTTGCAGATCGCATTGTAATGGCTGCATGAATGTCGCATGGGCTATGTTTTGGGGAGGAAGCTGGAGCACGAAACCGTGTTTTTTTCCGTGTAAAGTGGCTGCAGCCGGCGATGAAAGGTACCTCGTCTGTGCGGCGGTTGCGGCTGGGGTCGTTCCGGACGCGATTGGTTCCTTCTATGTGTTTTGCAACAGTGGTTGTTCTTGTGTGCGTAGTTCTATGCGTTTCCTGAAGCTGTGGTTGCAGATCGCATTGGAATGGCTGCATGAATGTTGCATGGGCTATGTTTTGGGGAGGAAGCCGGAGCACGAAACCTTGTGTTTTTCCGTGTAAAGTGGCTGCAGCCGGCGATGAAAGGTACCTCGTCTGTGCGGCGGTTGCGGCTGGGGTCGTTCCGGACGCGATTGGTTCCTTCTATGTGTTTTGCAACAAGTGGTTGTTCCTGTGGTGTAGTTCTATGCGTTTCCTGAAGCTGTGGTTGCAGATCGCATTGTAATGGCTGCATGAATGTTGCATGGGCTATGTTTTGGGGAGGAAGCCGGAGCACGAAACCTTGTGTTTTTCCGTGTAAAGTGGCTGCAGCCGGCGATGAAAGGTACCTCGTCTGTGCGGCAGGTGCGGCTGCGGTCGTTTGTGCGCGAATTGGTTCCTCCTATGTGTTTTGCAACGAGTGGTTGTGTCTGTGTGCGTAGTTCTATGCGGTTCTTGAATCTCTGGTTGCAGATTGCATTGGAATGGCTGCTTCATTGTGTCATTTGATGTTGCCACGTGCGTAGATAGGTGCAGGTTTGCTACGGGATGCTGCGAAACGCATTGTAATGGCTGCACGATGTTGCATGGGCTGTGTGTTGGGGAGGAAGCGGGAGCACGAAACCTTGCGTTTTTCCGTGTAAAGTGGCTGCAGCCGGCGATGAAAGCTACCTCGTCTGTGCGGCGGTTGCGGCTGGGGTCGTTTTGTGCACGAATTATTCCTCCTATGTGTTTTGCAACGAGTGGTTGTGTCTGTGTGCGTAGTTCTATGCGGTTCTTGAATCTCTGGTTGCAGATTGCATTGGAATGGCTGCTTCATTGTTGTCATTTGATGTTGCCACGTGCGTAGATAGGTGCAGGTTTGCTACGGGATGCTGCGAAACGCATTGTCATGGCTGCATGAATGTTGCATGGGCTTTCTTTTGGGGAGGAAGCCGGAGCACGAAACCTTGTATTTTTCCGTGTAAAGTGGCTTCAGCCGGCGATGAAAGGTATACCTCGTGTGTGCGGCGGGTGCGGTTTGGATCGTTTCGAGTTCAATCGGTTCCTCCTCTGTGTTCTGCAACGAGTGGTTGTTCCTGTACGCGTAGTTCTATGCGTTTCTTGAATCTGTGGTTGCAGATCGCATTGGTGGTTGTTCCTGTTGCCACGCGTAGTAGTTGCTATGTGCAAAACGCATTGTCATGGCTGCATGATTGTTGCATGGGCTTTCTTTTGGGGAGGAAGCCGGGGCACGAAAACTTGTTTTTTCCGTGTAAGTGGTTCAGCCGGCGATGAAAGGTCCTATGGCAGGTGCGGTTGGAGCGTTTCGGTTCATCGGTTCCTCCTATGTGTTTTGCAACGAGTGGTGTTCATGTGTGCGTAGTTCTATTCGGTTCTTGAATCTCTGTTTGCACGATGGCTGCATTGCGTATGTTGCCATTTAGTGGCAGCTAAGGACGTGCGCTGAAAAATCATAATGGCTGCATGAATGTTGCATGGGCTTTCTTTTGGGGAGGAAGCCGGAGCACGAAACCTTGTATTTTTCCGTGTAAAGTGGCTTCAGCCGGCGATGAAAGGTACCTCGTGTGTGCGGCGGTTGCGGTTTGGATCGTTTCGAGTTCAATCGGTTCCTCCTCTGTGTTCTGCAACGAGTGGTTGTTCCTGTGTGCGTAGTTCTATGCGTTTCTTGAATCTGTAGTTGCAGATCGCATTGGGATGGCTGCATGATTGTTGTCATCTGGTGTTGCCATGTGCGTAGATGCATGCGGGTTAGCCACGTCATGCTGTAAAACGCATTGTAATGGCTGCATGAATGTTGCATGGGCTTTCTTTTGGGGAGGAAGCCGGAGCACGAAACCTTGCATTTTTCCGTGTAAAGTTGCGTCAGCCGACGATGAAAGGTACCTCGTGTGTGCGGCGGGTGCGGTTTGGATCGTTTCAAGTTCAATCGGTTCCTCCTCTGTGTTCTGCAACGAGTGGTTGTTCCTGTGTGCGTAGTTCTATGCGTTTCTTGAATCTGTGGCTGCAGATCGCATTGGAATGGCTGCATGATTGTTGTCATCTGGTGTTGCCATGTGCGTAGATGCATGCGGGTCAGCCACGTCATGCTGTAAAACGCATTGTAATGGCTGCATGAATGTTGCATGGGCTTTCTTTTGGGGAGGAAGCCGGAGCACGAAACCTTGTATTTTTCCGTGTAAAGTGGCTTCAGCCGGCGATGAAAGGTACCTCGTCTGTGCGGCGGGTGCGGTTTGGATCGTTTCGAGTTCAATCGGTTCCTCCTCTGTGTTCTGCAACGAGTGGTTGTTCCTGTGTGCGTAGTTCTATGCGTTTCTTGAATCTGTAGTTGCAGATCGCATTGGAAAAACGCATTGTAATGGCTGCATGAATGTTGCATGGGCTTTCTTTTGGGGAGGAAGCCGGAGCACGAAACCTTGTGTTTTTCCGTGTAAAGTGGCTTCAGCCGGCGATGACAGGTACCTCGTTTGTGCGGCGGGTGCGGTTTGGATCGTTTCGAGTTCAATCGGTTCCTACTCTGTGTTCTGCAACCAGTGGTTGTTCCTGTGTGCGTAGTTCTATACGTTTCTTGAATCTGTGGTTGCAGATCGCATTGGAATAGTTGCAGTTTCCGAGGCTGTTGCGATAGCGATTTGTCAGCAGATTTTTTCAAGATTTTCGCAATTTTGGCGCTAGTAATGTTCCATTTAGAAATCCTTTTAAAAAGTGCTTCAAAATCGTCTTTTTTCTGCTTTGGCGTCGAGATCCGGTTGTGGAGCTGCAGTTTCCGAGGCTGTTGTGCGTAGTTCTATTGTGTTTTGCAACTCAGTCGCTGCAGATCGCATTGTAGTGGCTGCATCAAGGTTGCTTGGTGCCGCAGCTGCATGCGTAATACTATTGTCATACTATTGTCTTCTTTGCAGCTGAACATCATAAATCGTATTGGAGTGGCTGCATTCAGGCTGCGATAGCGATTTATCAGCAGTTTTTTTCGCATTTTTGGCGCTAGTAATTTTCCTTTTCAAAATCCTTTTAAAAAGTGTTTCAAAATCGTCTTTTTGCCGCTTTGGCGTCGAGATCCGGTTTTGGAGCTGCAGTTTCCGAGGCCGTTGCGCGTAGTTCTATTGTGTTTTGCAACTCAGTCGCTGCAGATCGCATTGTAGTGGCTGCGTCAAGGTTGCTTGGTGCCGCGGCTGCATGCGTAATACTATTGTCATACTATTGTCTTCTTTGCAGCTGAACATCGTAAATCGTATTGTTGTCAGCGGATTTTCGCAATTTTGGCGCTAGTAATTTTCCTTTACAAAATCCTTTTAAAAAGTGCTTCAAAATCGTCTTATTGCCGCTTTGGCGTCGAGATCCGGTTTTGGAGCTGCAGTTTCCGAGGCCGTTGCGCGTAGTTCTATTGTGTTTTGCAACTCAGTCGCTGCAGATCGCATTGTAGTGGCTGCGTCAAGGTTGCTTGGTGCCGCGGCTGCATGCGTAATACTATTGTCTTCTTTGCAGCTGAACATCGTAAATCGTATTGGAGTGGCTGCATTCAGGCTGCGATAGCGATTTGTCAGCGGATTTTCGCAATTTTGGCGCTAGTCATTTTCCTTTAAAAAATCCTTTTAAAAAGTGCTTCAAAATCGTCTTTTTGCCGCTTTGGCGTCGAGATCCGGTTTTGGAGCTGCAGTTTCCGAGGCCGTTGCACGTAGTTCTATTGTGTTTTGCAACTCAGTCGCTGCAGATCGCATTGTAGTGGCTGCGTCAAGGTTGCTTGATGCCGCGGCTGCATGCGTAATACTATTGTCATACTATTGTCTTCTTTGCAGCTGAACATCGTAAATCGTATTGGAGTGGCTGCATTCAGGCTGCGATAGCGATTTGTCAGCAGATTTTCGCAAGTTTGGCGCTAGTGCAGAAGCGCCGAGATAAGTTGAAAGTAGGTCCAACGCATGAGAAAGTTTGAGCTGCGCTCAGATTACATGAAAATAGCCAAGAAGAACGTAGCTGACATATGGGAAGACATGAAACCAGATGAAAAGAGCTCAGATGTGAAGTGTGAAGGGTGCAATGTGATGTGTGAGGAAAGTGCTTGCTTCACGTTGCATTGCGCCGGGGACGCGCGCAGGTCATGTTCTTGGACAACAACATTGCAACAGCTTCGCGCAAAGCACGCACGCACGGGCCTGGCTGGCGCACTGCGCATGCAAGTTCCTTTGTAGTACAGTAGTACTGTGAAGTGATTCATGAAAGCTTAGATGACATATGAGAAGAGATGAGATGAGAAGAGCTCAGCTGGGATAAGGTGAGAAGAGCTCAGATGAGATGAAGGGTGCAGTGTGAAGTGTGGGGCAAGAAGAGTGCAGTGTGAAGTGTGGAGTGTGAAGTGTGAAGTGTGGACTGTGAAGTGTGACGTTTGGAGTGCGAAGAGTGCAGTGTGAAGTGTGGACTGTGAAGCGCGCAGTGTGAAGTGTGAAGTGTGGAGCGCGAAGAGTGCAGTGTGAAGTGTGAAGAGTGTGGAGTGTGAAGTGCGAAGAGTGCAGTGTGAAGAGTGCAGTGTGAAGTGTGTAGTGTGGAGTGTGAAGACTGCCAAGTGTGAAGTGTGAAGTGGAGCTTCAAATGTAACATGTGAAACAAGACACCAGTTTCGCAGAGTGCACGCACGCACGGGCTTGGCCTGCGCACGGCGCATGCAAGTTCTATAGATGAGAAAGGTCTTATATATATCTTTAAGGCAACTTCCGCCCCGCCTCGTGCGGGTACTACTGGTACTAAATAGATCTATTTATAGATCTAAATAGACGATCTTTTTTTTGAGAATCTAAATAGCCCCCAGATCTTCCAGATCCAGCCATTTCCAGCCCCCGCCATCCCTCTGCGGGTGGGCGCCATGGGGAGTGACGAATTTTGGCCATGCCATGCCTGAGAGATCCTGGTGGAGAGATCGCTCCTCGAGCCGCTCATCGTCCTCAAAGTCGTCCTCGTCACGATCGGAGCCTTGGGATGCCTCGGGAATGGTGGGAATGGTGGGAATGGTGGGAACATATCATGGGGAAGCTCGGTTTGACGCTATTTGGATGAGATTTCCAAGAGAAATGGGTTTTCAATGGTTTTCATCAGCTCCAACCAGAGGCAAAATCCACCCCCGATTGGATATTTTGGTGGTATGATGATTCCTACTGTGAAACTCCATACATTTCATGGTTGAGAGAAAACACTTTCGGGGTTAGCATTTCCTGGGAATTGTTCATGGGAGGAAAGTACGATGGGAAACTTGGCAGCAACCTTCCACTTGAATGAGAAGAAACACATGATGCAATGTGTTGCTTGATGAAATGCTAGGTATGATGTATCGTGAAACGATGTAGTGCATTGTTGTGACCTACAGAACATGTCCCTGTATGATACAATATTGTTCTGTGATAGAAACATCATGTATATAATCATATATATATATAATCATATATATATATATAATCATATATATATATAATCATATATATATGTAAAGGCATTCCAGTTCACAGGGCCGGCCCCACGAACACCCGTGACTGTGTTGTGCCTTAGCGGGAGCGTCCACCTCAACTCCCGCGGGCCATTTGCTGGCCTTCTGTGCTTGCGCTACTTCGGACTGAACTGGTTGGAGCCCTGGTCCGAGTTTCGCATTGCATTGTGCTCTGCCTTTGGCATCACCTGTTCTGGTGTCCCGGCACCGTAATCTCACCCGGGTTGCATTTGGCTTTGGTCTTTTATTCTACGTCCTTGGAGTTTTGAACGAGCTCGGGCTTTGCATTTGGGCATTTTCTCATCCTCGCCGAAGAGCTGGTTTGTGTTTTATGCATCTTTTGCGCCTCTACATCGTCCTCCTTGGGTACTTTGCGAATCATTACGATCATTACGCCAACAGCGCGCAGACGTTCCAGGAGATTGCGCTCACTGGCACGTTACAAGTGGTTTCTACATCGCACTGGCAGGAAGCTACTGACCTTTGTGCAGCTCAAGAACATCAAGCTCACTCTGGCCAGACATCATTCGGTCGATTGGAAATTTCAACGCCGTATAGCTGTAGCGATGAATCAGTGGAGAAGTCATCAGACCCCCTGGAAGTGCAGTGGCTGCCGAAGGCTGAACAAAGCAGCGGCCTTTTACTGCGGTCAATGTGGACAACACTGGGAAGATGCTCTGGATGGTGCGTACCAACATGTTCAGCGCCCAGCTCATCAGGGACAAGAACACCAGTCATACACCCAGTGGCAAACAGACCCACCATGGAATTCATGGGATTCATGGGAAGATGGAAGAGGAGCCTCACAGTCACCTCGAAGCCATCGATCGCAGACGCCCAAAGGCCAGAAGCAGCCGAAGAATCGAAGCAAAAACAAGGGGAAAAAGGGCAAGGGCAAGGGCAAACCTCAGTTCCAAGCTCCTCCTTTGCCGGAAGCTCCCTGGAGCAATTCCAACACTTCTTCAACAGCTGCAACATCCACAGCACCTCCCACACAGGCGGAGATGCAGCTACGTTCCATTGTAGCCGCGCTGAAGAAGAACGAGACCAACTTACCTGCAGAGTTGCAATCTCTTCTACACGAAAATGCCAAGGTACAGTCCCAGGATCTGACCAAGGTTTTGCATTCTGCAGTGACAAAGTTGGGGAAAGCCAAAAAGAACCTTCAAGATGCAAGGGCCTCCAGGTTGAATCTTCACAACGTATGGCGATCATATCTGGAAGCCAGTGTGGACAAGTGGAGGCAATTTTGCAAAGATTTCGAGGCTCAGGACACGGAGCTGGCGCAGCAAGTCCTGAATGCCACAGAAGCTGTCAAGTTGGCACAAGAGGGCCTGGACGCGTCCAAGAAGGAAGCCAAGGAGATCATCGAGGTCGAGAGCGATGGCAGGTCAGACATGGCTGTGGAAGTCTCAGACGAAGAGACACAAGAAGCCTGGGACAGCAAAGGCCAGATGCTCATGGAAGGCATGACGTTCATGCTCCAGAACCTCGAGTCCCTGAAAAGCAAGGCAGACTTGGCGGTCCAGGAGAGTGCCAACAAGCGACCTCGCATTGCAGAAGAACCAGGAGATTCACGGCGCTCATCGCCGCCGGATTTTGCGCAGCCCGGTCAATAGACCAAAGGGAGATTGGCTATGGGCTTGTTTGCCATGGAGTTCAGTCTCCATGTGTGCGCAAATGGACACATCGTGCAGTCCATGAATCCTGGTTTATTTCGGAGTGGCAGTCTTCTATTGACGCCCTTGATGAGGCTTTTGCATTGGGGTTTGCAGATGTTCCTCTACATGTTCCTGCAAGGTGCAGTCGTCCGATTTCCAGCGCTCCGCACAGGAAGGTATGTACCTTTTCTGATGACATTCAGCTCTACCTGGGCATAGATGATGAAATTTTTGCATTTTCCACGAAAATCAAGCATGAAGCTCTCCAGCATTGGCCGGAGAAACCTTGGAGGTTGAGATCAACAAGAGCCACCTCCTCCAATGCGCTGCGCAACAGTTCCACAAATATGAGGACTGCTGATGACCACTTGTCAGATCAGCCAGATCCAATACCGAATCGTCACTTCTTGGGTGAAACCGAAGCTCCTTTGCTCAGTCGCCATGCGCAAGAAGAAGTTGACCAAGATCAAGTCCCAGCTTGGGGACACGATGAACGCACTCTTCCCAACTGGCTCCGTGAATTGAGAACACTACATGACAGGCTTGGTGCTGTGGAATGCCTTGAGGAAGGCAAGATCATCTATGTATGCTCCTGGTATCTTCATCCAATCAGGGCATCAAGATCGACCCTACCAAGGATGTTACGACTTGATCAAGAATGGCAATTTTGGTTGGAAACTATCAAAGAGGTCTGGCATGATTTTATCCTCCAAGACCGACCAGTTGACATTGGTTTGGTTTCACCGAATCCACCAGCTGACAGTTTCCGTGGCCATGTTGCACATCTCATACTTTGCCAAGATGTACCAGCTGAGGCACCAACTGGCATCATGTCTACGATTTACCGTAGTTCAAGTCGCACTGCAATTTTCCAACTAGCACAGATTTTGCCAGACACAATGTCAGCAAGCGATGTCATTCGAAGTGCTTCTGCATGGAGACAATGTTCCTACAGACAATGCCAAGTCACGATAGGAGGTAGGCCAATCATTGACGATGCTGCCACCCCTGTCCCTTCCTTCACTTCAATTGTTTTGGACGTGTTTCCTGAAAATGAAGATGATGATGACTACAGTTCCTTCATGGCAGCGGGCGCAAGTACACGCCCTAGCCTCTTGCCGCCGCGCCCATCAGCTATTGCGGAGCTGCCAGAGGCTGCGCAACAAGAAGGTGATCTTCAATGGCCAGAAGATCAAACAGATGAAGAAAGCAGTGAGACTGACAGTGACGATCCTAACTGGCACCTCACTGTTGTTTTCTCAGTGCATGCCCCTCCTGCAGAAGGACAAGTCAATCAGGTCAACCAGCACCTTGCTAGACGAAACATCGCACGCATTGCTGGCATTGATCACCAACAACTCCAAGCAGTCCATCGAATTCCACATCCACCACGAGACCTGCAGGACAGAAGAGTTCATGCCCAGCTAGCGCAGCATTGTGATGATCTGCCATCGACTTCTCGCTTGGCCTTTGTCCTCTTTGATGTGGAGTTTCATCCACAGGCGCCGTCATGGGAGGTCGAGAGAGTGAGAAGCCCTGTGTATGTCCCGACAGTCTTGTCGAGGCATCAGATGCTGCGTGTCATGGACGTCTTTCTCTACGCCCAATTTGTGCGCGATACCTGTTTGGTCTGGCACAATGGCATCTTAGTACACCAAGATCAAAGAATCTACAGAAGACTTTATCATGGTGATTATGTGCGCATTGCCCTGCCGCCGCCATTGATACCCATGAGAAATGTGCCAACGCGCTGTGTAGCAAGACTGCTTCAAATGGGGGTTGATCACCCAGATCTCGAAGCATTCTACTGGGTCTCAAATGTTGATGATGACCTTGAACACATGCCAATGCACTACAGTGTGGTCTCTGACGTCGAATCCTCTGAAGAAGGCGGCTCTGTTTCATCCATGAGCCTTTTGCAGACATCAATTCGACCCAAAAATAGAGGTCTGACGAGCATGTGGCACAACTGTGAAGATTTTGAGGCACTTCGTCTTCAATACTGTCAGCAGAGAGAAGCGCCGGAATTGCCTCATCCAGCAGTAAGGCCACTTCAAGATTTGCCATGGTTTGAACAACAACTTTTGCCGCTTTGGGACATCAGAGCACAACTCGGTCCTGGAGGAATGGAAAGATCCACCACTGTCATCACTTGGTACAATGACCATTTGCACCACCCACTTTGTGATGACTCACGTGAAGTTCAATTATTTGACGATGTGTTTGAGTGGAGAGGTCTTATCCAGAGAACTTGGGCTGACCGCATTGACCAAACAGAGGAGCTGCACTTCTTTGTTGTGCATCCACCACCTTATTGTGATGAATCGGCAGCGGCAGCACACATTGTCCTGGTGCAAAGGCCCAACCCACACTTCAAATCGTTGCATGTTGCTGTGATGGACGATTTTGTTGCTCGGGGATATCCAAGGACTTGGGTTTTGATGATGCCCAATGTCATCACGCTTCAGCACTGCATCGACATCATGGGCTACCATGCGATTTGTCTTCCGCAGACGCCAGGACTCCATTGTAGCCTGTGGCATGGTGATGATGAAGTCACATTGGTGGGTGGCATTGCTACCACACATGGTATGTCTCTGACGTTGATTGTTCAGAGGAGCTACCTGGGCGGTGTCAACCCATGGACTGATGAGGAGCAACTCACATTACTGCAAACTCGTCAGATCAAGCGCACTTTGAGTTTGGAGCAACTTGTGCACGAGGATCCAACTCCCAGCCTTGTGGCTGTGCGACTTCTTGCGGGTGTTGGTTATCTTTCTCTACCACAATTTGTTGAAGTACTGGCACCCTTCGATCAGACCAGCATTGAAGATGAGCTAAGATGCTGGGGACATGAATGCAAGCGCGCAGTTTTTCAACGACAACAAGTGGCGGTGTGTTATCCAGCAGCGATTTCAGCTGCCTCCAGACCAGCGATTGCCTTGTATCAGGCCATTGATCCTGCTGTCCACTCTGATTTCATAGTGGATGACAAAATTCTGGCGGAGGACGAGATTGGCCATATGCGATTTCTCTACCAACAGGGGTTTTGGCGAGCCTGCATGGGTGCGACATTTGAGGCAGAGAATTTCCCTGTCCAGCTTCACACTTTCCACAATTGTGAAGTAAACATGCACGTGGAAGCAGCGACGCGTCAGCCTCTGCCTTGGCCTGCCAGGCTGCCGGCTCTGGAACACCCCAAGCCACTCTTTGATTTTGAGAAGATATCAACAATTTCTACTGACTGCAAATTACATTTGGACATCACCTTGGATGACCTGTCAGCATTTTTCCATTCAGCGAGTGACATCCTGTGCCCAACATTGGACGGAGTTGACCTTCCTCCACACATCCAAGAGGCGCTTGATTGTTGCCAGCCCCTTCAACAAGTGGATCGATTGCTGATCTATTGTGATGGCAGTTCTCTTCCTGAACAGAGACGTGCTCCGCCACAACGTGCAGAAGAGCGAGGCAAAGGGGACACATGGGCCTTTCTTGTCCTTGCTGAAGAATATAGCCAGGAAAGCGTGCCCAAACTCAACTTCATTGGTTGGACAGCGCAGCCTGTCCTCTTTGAGGCTGGAGCCCCACATCACATAGGCTCCACTTCCATCGGAAGTGAAACCAGTGAGAGGGAGGCATTATTCTGGTCGGCCTTGTGGCGGCTTGCGCAGAACCACAATCTGCCAACTACGTTCTGTACCGACTCAGTTCTAGCAGAACGACAAGGAGCCGGCCTTCATGGTGCAAGAGATGTCTCGAAGTCCTACCGCATGCTGAGGGCCAGTTTCCAAGCTTTGGAGACGACATTGAGCTCGGAATTCCTCTCAGCGACCCACGTCCGTGGACACAGCGGGGACCCATGGAACGACCTTGTAGACATTCTTGCGAAGCAAGAAAGGCAGAAAAGCTTTTATTTGGCCAGGCAAAAGGTCGATATGAACCATTTGTGCCCTATTCTGCCCTTCTTTTGGTGGATTCTTTCACATGACCCAAGCTTGCCGAGCTTCCATGGAACGTATTTTGATGTTGGCCCACCGAATTTGCCAGTCGAACAGGTCCCTTTGACCTGTGAAGCAAATGACACTCCTACAATCCACAGCATGCGATTGAGTTTCGGTAGCTGCAATGTAGCCTCCCTTTATGGAGGTGACAATGGTTGTGGAGGCAAAGTCCAACTGCTGCGGGATCAGATGATTGCTTTCAACTTCAACTTCTTGGGGCTTCAGGAAACACGTTGCCCAGAAATCTGCAGCACAGTTGACAATGTTTACAGACTTGGCGGTGGAGCAGACAGGGGACATTGGGGGGTCGAACTCTGGCTGAATCTAGCTCAACCTATTGGCTACGTTGGCGACTCACCTATTTACTTGACCGCTCAAGATGTCCAAGTTGTCCATCGTACGCCACGACTGCTGATTGTCAAAATTGATTGCCCAGCTTGGCATGCTTGTCTGGTTGTCGGCCATGCACCCCAAAGTGGACAGCCTGAAACTGACCGTGTCCAATGGTGGCAAGAGCTGATTGAAAGACTTCAACAGTTAGATGATGGATCTCCCATCTTCACCATGCTGGATGCAAATGCGGCTCCTGGAGAATCTGATGGACGAAGTGTTGGCGGTACCACTTTCTGTACCACCAAGAGCACACCATTGCTGCGACAGTTCCTGGATTGCTTTGATCAGTGTCTGCCTTGCACATTTCAGTGCCATCAAGGCACACACACTACGTGGAGAGCCCCTAATGGAGCAAGTGAGCACTGTATTGACTATGTCACCATACCTGCCACTTACAAGGATCATTGTCTTATTTCGACTGTTGTTGAAGATTTTGATCTGCACAATGGGGATGGTGACCATTCGCTTGTCGCCTTGCAGTTGGCATGGTCAGCAACTTCCATCACCACTACAACCGCCAGTGCTTTCCATGCAAAAGCAAGTTTTGACAGGACCAAGATACAGCGAGAGAGCATAGCAAAAATTGTTGCCAACATCGATGCACCTGCTTGGCATACTGATGTTCATACTCACTTTCATTCCTACAACCAAGCACTCCGTGACTGCCTGTCCATGCACTGTCCCAAGCGACGCAGTGGACCCAAAAAGTCCTTCATCACTGAGGAAATTTGGGATCTTCGCAGCCAAAAGCTTGCGTGCAAGAAGCAGTTGAGTGAAGTTGGACGAAAGATGAAAAGCGAAACTCTGCGAGCTTTCTTTTGCACATGGGCAGCTTCTGTGGGGAGACAGGAACCACAGGATGACTCAGCAGGCAGTTACACAATATTTGGCCACCATGCGTTGCTGGCGCCTGAAGCTTGGCATCCGCCTTTCCACTTTGGCTGTCAGAATGAAGCGCCAGCTCCAACACGCACGAAAGCTGGCCCTTGCCAAGTCACTGCAAGAGTTACCAGCAACAGCGTCGGCCAACATGATCTTGCAGACCGTCAAAGAGCACATTGGCTCCACCAACTTGCGCCATCTCAAGCGCAAAACGCTTCCCATCCTTGAAGATGATGATGGTGAGCTTTGCGTACTCCCGGCACAAGCTTTGGATCGCTGGATCAGATTCTTTGGAGACATGGAAGGCGGCCAACGCCTTGATGCTTCTACTCAATGGCAGATCTGGCGTGACAACCTCGTTGCATTTAGGCGCACTCACATTGACCAGCATATCACAGATCTACCAACGCTGACAGACCTGGAAATGGCATTTCGCAGAGTTCCTCGAAAGAAGGCCAGTGGATTAGATCAGCTGCCGTCAGAGCTTTGTGGTGCTTGTCCTTGTGAGCTTGCCAGACAAAACTATGGTGCCCTTCTCAAACTCTGCCTACACGGGCAGGAATCTTTGTGGCATAAAGGTGGCATCCTTTACCCTGCACACAAAGGAAAGGGGCCTCTCAGTGATCCCAAAGCCTATCGGAGCCTTCTTGTTAGCTCCCACGTGGGGAAAGCCCTGCATCGGACTATCCGACAGACGCAGGCAGGCCTCCTGGAAAGCTACATGATGAGATCCCAACTTGGGGGCAAAAGACATGTCCCGGTGACATTGGGTCTGCATGAGGCGAGAGCCTACCTGCGTGCCGCTGCAGCCAAAGGGCACTCTGCCATTTTGTTGATGGTTGATTTGGTGGAAGCGTTCTACCGAGTGTTGCGTCCACTGGCGTTGGGAAGTGATTACAGGGACGATGACATTGCAAGAATCGCGCAGAAGTTGCGTCTCCCTGACGATGTCTTGCACCAGCTGCATGCACACCTGGCAGATCCCTCCGCGATTGCCAAGGCAGGCATGACCAAAACAGCTCAGCAGGTTTTGCAAGCCATTCATTCCGATACGTTTTTTCAGATGCCGGGGCAGACTGACATTTGCAGAACGACAGTCGGTACGAGGCCTGGAGACTCATTTGCGGATGTGGTCTTTACGTTCCTCTTTACGAGAGTGTTGGAGAATTTCCATAGCAAACTCCAACAGCATGAGCTCCAGGAATACATCCAGATTGACCGCAGTTTTGATCCCTTTGGACATGGCGATTCTGCTGAGAACTCCTGGGAAGTCTATTCAGGCCCAGTCTGGATGGATGACCTCACGGTAGTCCTGAGTGCCGACCATGCGGATGCAGCCATACAGAGAGCAGGAATTGTGTCTTCCATTCTGCTTGACACTCTTGCAGAGCATGCCATGACCCCCAACTTGCAGAAAGGCAAAACAGCCCTCCTTTTAGCTTTGAAAGGAAGAGGCTCCAGACGCAGAAAAACACAGTTCTTCGGCCCCAACAGCCCTGGCACCATGACGGTCATTGGGGAGCACAGCACAAACCATCTCTCAGTTGTTGGAGAATATGTTCACCTCGGAGGTGTCCTCCATCACTCTGGGGATCATCGGAAAGAGATGAGGCGCAGAGTTGCGATGGCGCATCAGACTTTCAATGCCCACAGGCGCCCCATCTTTCAAAATGCTGCGCTGCCCCTTGATCGCAGAGTCCAATTGTTCCAGACTTTAGTGCTTAGTCGACTCCTGTATGGCAGCGAATCCTGGCACCTGAAAGATGTCAAGTCCAAAGGGTTTCTGCACACCTCCATCATCAAGCTCTACAAAAGATTGCTGCGATTGCCTCCAGATGCTACCTGGACTGATGAAGATGTTTGCGTCGCTCTTCAATTGCCGACGCCCACAGAGCTCCTCCGACGAGTGCGCTTGCGCTATCTGGGGACACTTCATCAGTGTGAAGACACGGTCTCATGGAGGGTGCTGCACAACGACACGGCATGGTGCGCAGTTATTGTTGACGACCTACAGTGGTTTGGGAGGCAAATCTGCACGTGCATGTACCTCCCTGACCCGGCAACCAACTTGGAACCATGGCGATATCTGTGGCGCTTTCATCAGCCATACTGGAAGGGTCTCATACGCAGAGCTTTTCTTCATGCAGCGCTTCAGCGACAAAACCAGCTCCTTGTGCGACAGAGTTTTGATTTTTTTCTGAACACCATGAAAGAAGAGCGAATCACCTGCAGTCCGCTGCCGGAGCCACGAGACATTCCAGCACAGTCATGGCCAGGGTTCTATGGATGTTTTTGTTGTAAGAAAGCCTTCAGAAGTCGAGGAGGAGAAGGAGCGCATATGTTCCGTTGTCATGGCCTCATCTCCACGCTACGATGGCTTTTTGATACGACAGCTTGCCCATCATGCCTGAGAGAGTATCATACATTTGGTCGTTTGAAAGCACATTTGCATGTGAATTCTCAATGTCGGCTGCGATTGCAAAACAGGCCTAGCCTGCCTGCTCCGGCCGCCGGGCTTGGCTCCACTGAGAACTCTGCACTTGAGCATAAACATGATGGTCTGGTACCTCCGCTACCAGGGTTAGGCCCTCAACTGCCTGATGCTCGCATGAGAGAGGTTGAACAATTTGACCTCGAGTTGTATGCGAAAGTGACAGAGCTCTTCTTGCAGCATGGCCCTGAGGAACATGCACAAGCGCTCACTGACTTCTTGATGGAACAGCCCATCTCATGGACGTCATGCTGCCACACCCTACGTGCATTGCAGACCCATGCGACAGAGGAAGACGCCAGGGCTTTTGGATATGACCACCTGCCGCCTTTTGTCTCCTTCCTTGCTGGTTTCATTGACCCTCGGAAATGGGATTTTTTGCAGGTTCAGGCCCCACAGCCCTGTCAGCCAGAAATTGAGGAGTTGGAACAGGAGCTTGCAAATGCAGAAATCCTTGAACAAACTCCTAGGCCAGCAGCGTTTGGTGTCCATCGTTTGGTTTTACACGCATTTTCAGGGCGACGTCGCCCAGGGGACTTCCAAGAATTCCTTGACGCTATTGTGGGCGATTGCTCTGGCATTGTGGTTCACGTGGTGTCAGTAGATGTCATCCTAGACCGCAACTGGGGTGATGTCACGCGCCCAGAGTGCCAACGATTTTGGTTTGATGGGGTGAAGCGTCGCTTCGTCATCGGCTATTTAGCTGGTCCGCCTTGCGAAACCTGGAGCAAAGCGCGCGCTGTGGAGGTGCAATCAGCGCATGAGGGTCGGCAGGGACCGCGCATTTTGCGCACTATGGAGGAAGTTTGGGGCATGAGTAGCCTTGCTGTACGTGAAATCCGGCAGGTGCTTGTGGGCAATCAGCTCCTCCTGTTCTCTTTCCAGATGATGCTGCTGCTCTACGTGGTTGGGGGGTGCGGCGCTCTTGAGCACCCGGCGCCGCCGAGCGAGGAGCACTTGGCCTCTATCTGGCGGACACCCTTCGCGATCCTGCTTTGCCAACTTCCAGGTGTTGTGAGGCATGAGATTTCACAGGGCTTGCTCGGTGCGAAGTCACCGAAGCCCACATCAATTTTGACACTCAACCTACCAGACTTTGTGGAGCATGTCTGGCATGGAAGAGTCACATCCCATTTGCCGAAAGCTGCATCCATTGGGAAGGATTCCTTGGGACAGTGGCGCACCACTGCTCTCAAGGAGTATCCGCCGGCGCTTTGCCGAGCTTTAGCGCGTAGCTTTGCAGCATTCGTCACCTCATGCACAGTAGACTCATCGCATAGCATTTGTGCAGAATTTTGGAACAGGTGCGAGGCCATGGTAGCCAGTTACGGCCAGCACATTGGTCCAGACTATGCGGGATGAGCTAGAGGCGACATGAATTTAGATGCACAGGCCGCAACTCTCGAAATCCTATGTGCCAGAGGAAAAAAAAATAGATATGTATATAAATATATTGACCAATGCATTTGTTTCTTAAAACATTTTTTCATCGCTCCAGGACCGCGAGCGATACCGTGGAAGGGGCAAACATCGGCGAAGCTCCAGCCGCAAGCGTTGGACGCAGCGCTCCCGATCTCGTGCTCGGGAGAAGTCGGACCACAAGTGGCGCGACCGGTGGGATGACCCCATGGGCCCCTGAAAAAACCCTGGATTCCATGGGATGACCCGGGAATGATGGGTGAATTAGTTATAGTTGATCATTGGTTCCAACTGGTTAGCATGTAAGGTACTTTAGTTAATTTGGTCAGTTAGGATAATTAGTTGGTTAATTTGCAAGTTAATTCGTTGTAGATAGCGGGCTAACTATTATAGAGCCACAACTTGGGGTAAGAATCGATGATATTTTTTGGGCAAACATTGAGCAATTGCTGGTTTGGGCCTAAAACTGCCGATAAACTGCGGGAGCCACCCAATAACACCCTCAAATCGCTTTGGCGCTTTGGGATGCCAGTTGAGCCAGTTTCACGCGCTTGTCACAGCTACAGAGAACTGGGTCAGAGATTTGTGATATTTTGGTAAGCCTTTGACCTTACCAGGTTCATTCTAGATGTCCTCTTCATAGCTGGTTGATGGATGGGTAAACCCCCCACTTGAACATCCAATGGGTACCGGATGCATAATGGTATACCCAAGTGGCCTATCTCCTATCTATTTTTGTCCATTGTCTCAAGTGTTTCAATGAGTCTGATTGAAGAGAATGCATGAATAGAAACCACAAATGCTTTTGCAACATCCAAATGCGGGGTAAAGAAATCAACTCCGGGAATCGGCAGAAGTTGCCAATTCCACTGTTTTTGGCGGAAGGAATGTAGTTTGTGGTGCTGCTTACACAAATGGCTATGGAGCCCGATTTTTTGGTCAGTTTTGAGATTTGTGCACCATGACAAACATCACATCGAAATCACTTGAAATCAACCATTTTCGGAGATATCATGAAACCCTTGATTCACTTGACATTTGCCTGGGGATTCCATTGGTCCCAGGCTCTAGTTCTGAGGTCTCGAATTTGCATCCACTGGGAGCGCGGCCTCTGCACCAAGGGCGAGCAATGTAACTATGCCCATGGGGCCCATGAGCTGAGCGCCGTTCAGGTGTTCCGCCGTTGAGGTCAAAAATAAAGCATGATTTTGGTGCAAATAAAAAAGCAAATCACAAGCATAATGGGCACTTGGAAGCGCCGGAGGATGGTTTAACTATGAATATGTACATATATATGTATGTATATATATATATACACATATAGATAGAGATAGATATAGATATAGATAAAGGTTAGGATTTTCCTGGTTGTTAAGGTGTCAAAGATGTTAGCTACAGCATACACCATGCTGGTGGTGTGGCAGGCTGGAACTTGGAAAACCGTTCTCTGCAATCACTTTGAGAAGGGCACCTGCACTAGAGGCAGCTTGGCAATGAGATATTGCACACTTGAAGGGCTTGTTGTTCACCGTTGCAAATTCTACTTGAACCGGTGCTTGCCGTCCTTCCAGAATCTTCCAGAGCTGTGAATCCGAAAAAACCCGTGATGGAGGTAGCAATTGCTCCTTTGCACACGGTGAAGAGGAGCTTAGAGAACCTTGGCCAAGAAAAATCTAATGTGTGAGAGCGGCCCATATTGTGCCGCCATGCTGCTGCGATGTTGGTTGTTTTGAGCGGGACCTCAACATTTGCGCCAAAACCAAGCTTTGCAGTCTGACAGACCGGTACCATTGCCCAGTCACAGTCACAGCATTTTCCGTTCGTTACGCAGCTCAGAACACTCTCCCGATCTCCCAATGGGTGCTGTGCTCAGGATAACTACAAGACGATTCTGTGCAAGTACTACGAGAGCGGCCACTGGCCGAGAAGACATACATTCAGGGCTTGATGGAAGTCCGCATCCATTTGATAAAACAAGTTGAATTGTTTGTGAATTGGCCTGGAATTCTGTGAAAACCAAAATTTCAATATTGTCAATCCATGCTGGATGATCTGGATGTAGATGCAAAACCATCCCACTGAATGCAAGCAAACATCATTATTTTCTTCACCAAGTGCCTCAAGATCTGTGAGAAGTGCGGTTCCTGTGATTTTCTGTAGGCAACTGCAAGTCGGGCTCCAAATGCAAATTTGCGCATGGTCTCAAAGAATTGGTGAAGTTGGACCCGCCAAAGATCGAGGACGGGGGTGTAGTGGCCTTCAGCTTGTGGACCAATGGGATATATATATACAGTATATAAATATATATATATATATATTTAAACTTTATCCGAATGAGACCTGCAGCAGGCATCACTTTGGTTGTGCGTCAATGTGACCTGCTTGCTGCGGAAACCCTTCCCCAGACTCTAGACATCTCTAGACACTAGAAACAGATTTCCTGGCTTTTCAATGGTTTTCAGATGTTTGACACGAATCTTGTCATCCTTTGATTGGGATCCTGTCTCAAGCATTCTCAAGCTCGGCTGCATGTTGAGCCATTTTAGTCCAATAAACGCCGGCTTGAAGAATCAAACATCTCTGGATCATTCTGGATCCCGGCTCCTAGGTGCCCCGATCCCCGAAGCTTCGCCAGGTAAAGGTGGAGAAGATGCCGGTGCCGGAACAACCCAAGGATCTGCCGAGAGCCGGACCCGAGGCGACGCCAGAGAAGGTGGAAGGGAAGGCCAAAGAGCCAGGCGGCACCAAAAATATCCCCTGCAGATATTGGCAGAACGGTCCCTCGGCTTCAGGACCATTAAGGTGATCGGTTTTGCATGGGTATACATGTATTGATTCTTGATGGAGAAGGATGTGATCTGTAATTAATCGTCGATTGCCAGATTGCCAAAGGGAAGGTGCAAGATGGGAATAGATAGATGACTATGTGGTCAAGTTGTAGATGATGCTTGAAATTACAGCAACTCCAGTAGCTCGAGTGTAGGGCCGAACCAGAGGGACTTGAGATATCCCTGCACCGAGGTTTTTGCAACAAGGGAGAAAACTGCCAATTTTCCCATGAAGGTCCACAAAAGGAGCAACCACAGACACAGGCGAGGACTACTACTATGGCTGGCCAGGAATGCTGGTAGATGGCTTGCCCCAAGCAACTTTTTGAGATGAGTAGTGGCCAAACCTTTGGATCATATTTTTCTTTTGGGGAACTGGTCACTGTCATGTTGCAGCTGTTTTTGCTGCCATCTGTGCCGCGATCCAGGGCAGTTTCAAGACCATGCTGTGCCGGTACTTCCAAAACCACGGGCAATGCTCGAAAGGCGACAGCTGTAGCTTTGCCCACGGTCCAGAAGAATTGCAGGGCAATGGCACTGTTCCCCAGGCCTGGCGATCCAGAAATGCCAATGCATTTTCGCATCGCGAACCATCCACTCTGGTACTGCATGCACCAACTGTCCAACTTGAGAGCTCCCCCTTGAAAGATTTTTAAGGTACATCCATCCATGATGCAAACCCAGCCCATGAGCGTCAGAATTGAAGACTCATTCTGCTTCATTTGGCAGGAGGTTCAACCCGCAGCGCCAGCCTTCAAGACAGTCCTTTGCAAATACTTTGAGTTGGGACACTGCACCAGAGGGGATGAATGCACTTATGCCCATGGCATTGAAGAACTCCAGACTCGAGAGGCGCTGAAACGCAGTGACGAATTGTTTGATTTTGATGATCCAAACAACTCTCCAAAGTTTTGGAACTTCTTTGGCAAGCTCCTAAAAAGCAATTTTGTTTTCAGTTTCCATGTTGCCAATTTTAATTTGCACCAATCTGCAATTCTGCGCAGGCTGGCACCTATAAAACAGTGCTGTGCAAATTCTTCGAGGCTGGCAGTTGCAGCCGCGGCGCCAGTTGCACCTTCGCGCACGGAGACGGGGACTTGCTGGCTGAGGCGCCCAGCGCAACGGCTGCACCCAGCGCCGGTGCCTGCGCAGTGGCGGCCACAGCGTGGCCCATGACGTCGCTGGCGGATGCCATTGCGCAGAGACGCTTGGGATCGAGATATGGGGAAAAGCATGGAGAAAATAGAGACGGATGAAATTGGTCAGGTTGATTCCCAATGTACTTTGAGTGTACTTTGAGTTTTGTTTCGGTCCTTGAAAAGGTGTTGAATTGTAAGAGTTGTCCATACAATGTTGCAACCCTTTGCTAGCCATTTCCAGCAAAACTTTGACCGGGGACAAGATGAGACCGAAGCCCAAGGCTGAAGGGAAACAAAAAATCTGGTTGGAACGTCATTTCAATTTCACTAATTATCTGATTCTATAATTCTCTATATTGTAAACATAAGCGTTCTTTGGTTGCCACCTGGTTGCCACCTGGTTCCGACGACACGGGAAGCCCAGGTACGGGAAGCCCGGAGTTGGGAGTGGAGACCAATGGGCCGGTGGGTGTTTTAGTGCAGCCCACCAGGCGGGGGCGGATCGAAAGACGGCTGATGTTTGATGGTCGATGGTTGATGATGGTTGATGATGGGTACTTTCTGCTCCCATTGATTTTAGAGGCCATGGTTTCAGATTGGTTTCAGCCACAAGGATATTGTGTCGTTGTGACGGGAAATTTGGAGGGGAAAACTGGAGAAACATTGGATGAACAATCCAAGAATGGAGACTTCGGGTATGCCATTTTGATCCCTTGTACATGCGGGTGCAAGATTTGCCGACCAGGCTGCTGTCTAAGAGGCAGCTTGAGCTGAATGCCGAAGCACAGAAGCGAGTGAAGGTGACCCCCATGACCACTGTGACCCCCACTGTGACCCCGGTGGAAGTCAAACCACGAGTGCAAGTGAAGTGCCCTGCTGAGTTTAAGGCTCTCGTGTCGCTTGTGTGGAGTCCAGGATTTGAAATGACTCAGACTTTTGCCTGGCGATTCCGCTGAAGTCAAGGGAATTGTGTGGTAAGGGACATTTTTTTTCTTCCCCAAAATCATCATCTATTTAGGTAACCCGGTAACCCTAAGATTGAGCAGGCAACGGCGTTGTATTGTCCTAGGCGCTGCGCCTTCTATGCGGTGGGCCGCTGCGCCAAAGGACTAAAGGGAGTGGAATTTGGGGAAGTTCTCCATCACATTGGGGAGATTGATATTACCCAAAAATTGGAGGTAAGAAGATATATATATATATGTATAATAATATATATATATATGTATAATAATATAGAATATAATATATACTTATAATATATATATATAATATAATGTATATATATAATATAATGTATATATATAATATACACATAACCAACCAGCAATGGTTTCATTCTTGAACTTCTTAGTGAAACAAATCCTGGCCAGAATTCTTCGGTGGATCACACTGTGGCCCTAAATCCTGGCCAGACTTTCTTGAAACGGGGTACTGACCTGTCAAAAATGTCCATGTTTACCATCAAACCGGGGTCAAAACTCAATCCACACCAACATTTTGCGAAAAAAACATCTTCCAAACCCTCCTTGAATGGGATTCACGATGATTCACAAATTCTCGGATAAAATTCACAACTAAGCTGCAATAATTATATAATAGGGATCAATCGGGGCTGTTTATAGACTGTCACAAAACTGGGAAGGTCTATTGATGTTGCTGGATGTCCCCAAAATGGCAATTTTAATGGGGAAAATGATGATCAGCTAGTGAATTTTGGGTATACCGTATACCGGTATACCGTACCCCATTTATCCCCTGCGGGTTAACCGCAGGTAAAGCGGTGCCTTTTCACTGTGTGTGGACTACCGCTGTGGTGGTTGAAACCAACCAGACCCCATCGGCAAATCGGCAGGAGATGAGTGCCCCTACTTGCACGACTCTCAGCCTCAAGAACTGAGCCCATCCCTGGCGGGCCTGGCGAAGGTCGTGGCTTCTGCACCCACTGAGTCTATGCCCGCACCCACCCCCGTGCCGGTGCGCAAGACGGTGCCGCCAGGGATGGCTGTGACAGTGCCACCACGGGAGCTACCCACAGTGCCGGAAGTAGCCGCAGATGTGGAGGTGGAGGTGAGAAGTGACCGAAAAAAATTGAGCAGTGGATGCAAAACCCCTTTTCCGATGATGTTGGTCGGCGGCTTTTAATATATTATATATGTACAATATATATATATATTATAATTATATATGTACATACAACATATATTGGGAATATTTGGGGATCATCATGGGAATCTGCAGAATCCCCATCAACCTCTATGGAATGAGTGAGTTTTGAACACCTCAATTGACGACTTGGTGAACAGCCTTTTGTCGATCTGTATGGATGGGGTCTATAAAAAATATCATGTGGTAATCACTGCAAGTATGGTTTGTGATTGGTACAAAAATGGGGTATGCATCCCATTGGTGTTGGGTTTGATGTATTGGATGGTTTTTTGCTGGTTTCTTGGAAACACTTATGACATAATGATCCATGACTGAGATCCATTCCGCAAATCCCTACCAAGGTGGAAGCTGAAGCCGCTGAAGCAGCCAATTGGACTGAAACTCAACTGCCACCGGTCTTACCGGTCTTCAAAACAGCATTGTGCAAGTTCTTTGAGCAAGGGAGCTGCATGAATGGGGACAGCTGCACCTACGCGCATGGGGTGGAAGAATTGCAGCCGCTCTACAAGGCGAAACTTTGCAACTTCTTCTTGCAGGGCATTTGCACCAGAGGTGCCAACTGCACTTTTGCGCATGGTATTGAAGAACTGCAGGGTGAACTGCAGGGTGATGGCAGTGCTCTTCCCCAGGCTTGGCATCTTGGCATGTGGCCGTGAGTCAGAACATGATCCAGAAATGCCCATTGATCTAAATTTTGCAAGGTCTGCAGTATGCACTGTCCGACTTGAGAGTCTCCTGTTTAAAGACTTTTAAGGCACATCCGTCCATGATGCAAACCCAGCTCAGGAGCTTCACATTTTAAACTCATGCTGCTTCCTTTGGCAGGAGGTTCAACCCGCAGTGCCAGCCGAGCCTGCGCCAGCCGTGCCGCTCAAGACAGTCCCGTGCAAATACTTTGAGTTGGGACACTGCGCCAGAGGGGCCGAATGCGCTTATGCGCATGGCATTGAGGAACTCCGAGAGGCTCTGAAACGAAGTGAGGAATGGCTGAAAGCTTTCTGTTTTGAAGATCCAAAGTACTAACTCTTCGAAGTTTCGCAGCATCTTTTGAAAGCTCCTGCGCACTGGCTGGTGTTTCTCACTTTTCTAAATAAGATCATGTTTTTGTCAGTTTCCAACTTGCCAATTCCAATCTGCGCCAATCTGCAGAAATCCAGGCTGGCATGTACAAAACGACGCTGTGCAAATTCTTCGAGGCTGGGGGTTGCACTCGCGGCGCTAGTTGCACTTTTGCGCACGGAGAAGAGGAGTTGCTGTCCGAGCAGGTGCCAAGTGCCTGAACATCTCCAGTCTTAGAACATCCCCAAGTCAAAGATATACCATACAATGTGAGGGCTTATGTGTAGACTCCCTTTGGGTGGTAATCATCAATCCTTATTCAGACTGAGAGTAGTTTCACATCAAAGCTTCAAAATAGTTTCAGACTATTTCAGACTCAGACTGGCTTCGGACTGATTCCAAGCATGTTTCACAGTGGTTCCCGGCTGTTTTCAGACTGGTTTGAAGGGTTTTGACGCTCCGAAATTTAGTTGAACATGGTTCGTGGGCCTCAGCTCGAATCTTTGAAGCTGAAGGGTTTTCTTGTCATGCTAGAATCTTGAATCACTTGAGGGCGCACAATTTTTCATTCACATAGCACTTTTTTTCTTTGGATGTTGTTTCAAGCTGGTTGCAGAGTTTCACGTTTCAGGGTTTCAGACTGGTTTGCGAGCTTTTGACATTCAAACGTACACGGTTGTCGGGTGCGGGCTAGACAAATTAATTTTGATGAAAAACTGTGTTTCTTGATATGCAAGAATTCAGAAGCACCTGAAGGGGCGGAAGTGTAAGAAAAAATCATAGAAATTCTTGTGCTTTCTTTGAATGAACCTGTTCGCTCCTGGGCCATCCATCGTCTACTTTTCCAGTTCTAAGTACTGTATATGTCTGTCACTATACCCAGGATTTGCCTATTTATTACGTACGCTTCCTTCTTCTCCTTCTTCTCCTTCTTCTTCCTGTTCTTCTTCTTCTTCCTCCTCTTCGTCTTCGTGTTCTTCAACTTTTTGTTCCAACGGAGATCTCAACTCCCTGTTTGGGCATAATTTTTGCGGCCGCGATGGGTTGTTCCAGCAACTTCATGGGAAGCCGTTGCTAGGCGATAATGACAGCTTCACAAGATCCAATGAATCCTGTTCCTGCAGTTCCTGCAGTTCCTGCAGTTCCTGCAGTTCCGGCTGCCTTCTCCACAACTGTTGCTGAACCGCCGGCAGCACAATTCTTCAAGACGGCCATGTGCAAATTCTGGCGAGAGACCGGCACTTGCATCCACGGAGAAAACTGCAGTTTTGCCCATGGAGAGGAAGAGAAGCAGCCTCTCTACAAGGCGAAACTTTGCAACTACTTCCAACAGGGCCATTGCACCAGAGGTGCCAACTGCACTTTTGCTCATGGTGTTGAAGAACTGCAGGCTGGGGTTCAGGACAAAGTTTTCAGGTTCCAGGAGTGGGGAAAATTGTTTCACATGTGTGCAAGGGCCTTATAGATGAGGCGCACTCGCCTGTTCGAATTTATGCTAGCCAATCTGATGTAAGAGGAGCACCACACCGGCTCGGTGATCCACGGTAGCAGTCTCTGAGACCACACTGCCACACTGCCACACTCCCACAGCGGATATGAATCAACTCTTCAATAGGGAATTGGATGTTACTTTTGACTGACCAGGACGGAACTGCCCCTCCGCCATCCGTTGCTCCTACACCTCTGGCTGCAGACTCTGGTGTTTCCAGTGTTGCCGGGCCCTACAAGCTGACGATATGCAAATTCTGGGAGCGAGGCGCTTGCTTAGCAGGTGACAGCTGCACCTATGCCCATGGAGCAGAAGAGCTACAACCCCCGAAGGCGCAGCAGTTCAGCTGTGAGGATGGGTACGGTTTATCACCTTTGGCATCGGATGGGTGCCACAGTGGCATTGAACTTCTGGTAAGAACCGTTTTTGAGTCGAACATTTCTTGCAAGCATAGAGCATTAAGCTTGGTTCGGAAGACGATGGCAACAGCATTCGGCCAATGACACTCATTATGCAGGAGATTTTCCTGATTTTACATGGGTAGATCCAAACTCTTTGTGTGAAATTTCGGACTCATGTCACAGCTTTAGGCCCTACTTAGTGATTGAGATACTTGGCCAACTCGGGGTGCTCAAACTTTATCCCTTGTTGGAGGAACCAGCTTTGTACAAGACTGCCCTGTGCACATTCTATGAGCAAGGCCTTTGCACAAAGGGGGAAACTTGCACCTATGCTCACGGGATTGAGGAGCTGCAGGCTGGGGCCACACTTTTGCTAACTCCCGGGAAGAGTGAAAACCATTGAGGTCAAGCCAGCGCACATTTTGAACCCACAAGCACTCAGCTGGGGTTTGACCATACTAGTTGCTTCTTTGAATTCTTGTGCAAAAAGCAATCCTCCTCACAAAGTCTCAACCTTCACGGGAAGCCGTTGCTAGGCGATGGGGACAGCTTCACAAGATCCAATGAATCCTGTTCCTGCAGTTCCTGCAGTTCCTGCAGTTCATGCGGTTCCTGCAGTTCCTGCAGTTCCTGCAGTTCCTGCAGTTCCTGCAGTTCCTGCAGTTCCGGCTGCCTTCTCCACAACTGTTGCTGAACCGCCGGCAGCACAATTCTTCAAGACGGCCATGTGCAAATTCTGGCGAGAGACCGGCACTTGCATCCACGGAGAAAACTGCAGTTTTGCCCATGGAGAGGAAGAGAAGCAGCCTCTCTACAAGGCGAAACTTTGCAACTACTTCCAACAGGGCCATTGCACCAGAGGTGCCAACTGCACTTTTGCTCATGGTGTTGAAGAACTGCAGGCTGGGGTGCAAAGTTGTTAGATTAAATGAAAAAGCTGTGTTTTTTTTTTAGGTGGTGACGAGCAGTTGCAAAGGGGTATCGGCAAAGATGCAACATTTTCCTTTGGTTCCAGGATGGAACTGCCCCTCCGCCATCCGTTGCTCCTACGCCTCTGGCTGCAGACTCTGGTGTGTCCAGTGTTGCCGGGCCCTACAAGCTGACGATATGCAAATTCTGGGAGCGAGGCGCTTGCTTAGCAGGTGACACCTGCACCTATGCCCATGGAGCAGAAGAGCTACAACCCCCGAAGGCGAAAATCTGCTAAAAATGTCCGAGTGTATATTCTACGCCTAAATTAATTGGTAAAATAACCATCAGACATGGCCTTAATTTGGCTTGACTCTTTTTTATTTCTCATGAATTATCCAGATAAACCCACTAATCAAGGGCACAAACTGAGACCCTTTGAATGCGCTCAAGGATCTCTAGACCAAGACATTTTCGCGGAACTCAGAAGATCTCTTTGTGTGCATTCATATTTGTTTCATTTTGTATTTCTATACTAGTATGCAACAATATACTGTGTATATATAATATACTGTGTATATATAATATATATGTATATGGCATTAGTTGTGAGGCTTTGTTTGAACGTGCCTGTGCTCAAGCTGATGAGCTGGACTTCGATTTTAGGTCAGGCTGTGGGCATCACCAGGGAAGCTATCCTAAGCAACTTCTGGGGCTTGGCCTGTCCCATCCATTGCCATCCATCCTCTCTGCCATCACTTGCTCTGGCATTTCTGATTGGATCCATTCTGGGTGCTGCCCTTACCTTCCACATCTCCGTTTGGATTTTCCTTTCCCCTTCGCCTCAGAGCCATCCGCCATCTGTGCCTTCCAGGGTCCTGGCCCAAAACCTGAGGAGAAGGTTGGAGGGGTACGGCCCCCTCTTGAATGAGCGCCAACAATTCTGAGGTTCAGGATTTGGTACGAGCCCTTGATAGGCTCAGCTTGGCAATTGAGGAGTCGGGGAGATCTGAGTCACAGGGTTGGGAGTACATCAGCCCCAACGCAGAGCCTCAGCGGCCTGGGCTTGAAAGTGTTGCCCAGGGGGATTACAATTCTTTTGCTGAGCTTATTCCTCCTTGTCCAGGTCACTGTTTGCGACTGGGGCGAAGGCTGGTGGCAGGAGAGTACTCAGTTGAATACAGGATCAAGAGAGCCTGGGAGGCTGGATTTTGGGCCTCTTTGGTGCTCGAAGGGCGATTGCCTTGTCCTAGGGCCAGCTTGCCCCTCAACATCAGGCCGTGCATCTACGTCATTCTGCGAGCCCCAGGTTTGTCAGCACCTACTCGGGTGTCAAGTACCTCTGACCTCTACCGGGTCACGGGCCGGTTCACAGAGGAGACGCTGTGTCACGGGTTCCCATCAATTGCGGAGGCTGAGACCTACTGCGAGGCAGCAGGAGTGGATTTCCCCTCGCAGCACAAGTGGCATTGATGGAGCCTACAGTGGACATTCTCAGTGCAGAGCCCCCCATCAGGGCAGTTTTACTATGGCCCCCTGGGGAGGAAGAAGAGCATTTGGTGCAGGTTTTTGTCATTATGAAGCGAGCAGGCGGTGTCCTGTTGGCTCTTCCAGAAAACATTTTGGACGATGCATCCCTCAGGCGTCAGTCAGAGCCTTCGGAGGATGGAGGGGAGCCCTTGGTGGGCCCGTACAAGACTTTTGCTGCCCCTTTGCTGATCAGTGGAATGGATGGTCGCCTAGAGCAATCAGGAGAGAGCTGCAATGTTTTGGTGGTGGATATGAGCCTTCCAGGAGTGGGGGACTGTTTGCATCCATTTGTAGAAGATGGTACAGATGTGGATTTGACAAACCATTTCATCAATTCAGACCCAGGTGCCAGACCAAGTCTTCCAGATCTTCTGCATGCGGTTCAGGAATGGATTTCTTCAGAGCTGCACGGAGATCGTCTGGCATTCTACTCTGCTCAGGAAGAGGAGGATCAACCACAGATGGAGTCCCCCACCGCCGCCCCCAAACATGGGCGTCCAGGTGGTTCTACCACGCCCGGCAAGGCGCCAGGCGTCGCAAAAGCCGGGCAAAAGCGTCCTACTGTGGCAGCACTGGCGGCCCAGCTGGAGACAGTGCTGGGCACTTTGCCTGCTCTCACCGAACAGTTGGCAGTGCTTACAGAGAAACAGAATGCGCTGGAGAAGTCCCAGCGTGTTGGAGCAGAGCCGGCTGCCCCTTTCAAACCTATGGCAGTGGGCAAAACGGCAATGCCTGTGTCAGCGCTGTTGCAACCAGGTGGGACCCCGAAAGCTGCGGCAGGGCTCCACACTTTGCTGGGGCCGCCACCGCCAACGAGAGGACTGCCTCAGGAGGCGCTGACGGCGCCTCATGTCAAGTTCCACGAGGACGAGCCATTGGACCCCTTGCAGCCAGAAGAGGAATTGGGTGCTCAGTCTCCCATGGCGATGGCACTTCTAGAGCAAAGCAAGGCCCTACGTGCCTTGATGGTGCACTTCCACGCCAGTGGCTCCGATCCCATGTCAGACCTTTCCTCCGCAGCTCCCACAACGGGTGTCAAGTGCACAATGGCCCGAGAAAAACTTCAGCGGGAGTTATCTCAGGGTTCAGGCCTTTTCTATCTGAAAGTTTGCCAGGCTATTCATCGAAGGATGTCCCCTGCATCCAGGCCACCTTCAAATCTTTCAGAAGCCAAAGGAACCTCATTGCTGAACTACCTCGAAAGGTATGGGGGCTTTGGCCAGAATCGCGAGCTTGGTATGGTGCAATGGTCCATCGCTCACGCCTTCGATGCCGCGGCAAAGGAAGAATGGGGGGGCCGTGCAGGACCACCTTGCGCTGACAGCAGTCATGGTGGAACAGGCCAGCCTGGACAACAATCGATGGCATTCAGCTTGGCTCCTCAGGCTACTGGACGACCCACCTCAGAACTTGTGGATCAGCAGAGGCCAGACAGCAACGGGCGCAAAGAGGCCCTTCTCCCCGCTGTGCTCACCATCCTGGGTGACAACGGCGTTGGCCTTCATGAAGGAGGCGGAGGTTTTGCAAACAAAACGACAAGAGATCTTGGGAGCAAAGAGCCCTGCGGGTCAAGAGGATGCTCCCACACCGAAGCCTGCCCCAAAGCGAAGGCCTGGCAAAGGAAGGGGCCGTCAAGGAGGGACAGCAGCAGCAACCCAAGAAGAGGGGTGAACATTGCAACTGCGGGCTCAGGCGGTGGAAGTTCAAGTCCAAGTGACCGCTGTTACTTGAAGCCCCTGCGCTCTCAGTTGCCTTGCTCCTCCTCACCCAAGGTCCCAGGATGCAGTCCGCTATCAGCACAGAACTCAGTTTGCGGCAGGGGTTTCAATGGAGCCTGCCCTACACTGGACACTCAGAAGGATGCTGGCCGGCAGTCACAAACGACCTGCCAGGAAGAGCTTCCTTTTTTGAATTCAGGTCAACGTACAGATGCAGAGGAGATCCTCCTTCGTGATGAGAGCTTGGATAGCTTCTCTTTCTCCTTTGCGGAATGGTGCATGTCTATCACAAGGTGGGCACTCAGGAGTCGAACAAGTTTTGGCCATTTTTTGTCCACTACACTCAGCCTTTCTCGGGACGGGCCTTTGGCCCCCCCTACCGCCTTGTTTCCTCTGCCCTTACCGGTTGAAAGACCGTATGCAGAGTGCCCTGATGGTCGGGTTGGATGCACAGTGCAGGAGGCGGCTCTGGATCGAGGACTTCATGTTGTTATTTGCGCTTTGAATTTCATGTACTGGTCCAGGAGTTGCCCACCGACGGACTTGATCAGGAGGCAGCCGAACGAAGTTCAGCCCGGGCAATTCAGAAGCTCCGGCTGCTGCTTGAGGCGTGTGGTTGCTCTGAGCACATTCAAGTTGCCAGTAGCGGCCGTCGAAATTTGCAGTTAATGGCCCGCCTTCAAGAGCTGGCATTGGCTGCAGACAACTTGGGTCTCATGCGGAGGCCTTATCAGGAGCCTTCCTCACATGCTCCTGTTCCCATCGACAATGCAGCCTTCCCACAACTGAATCCTTTTTCAAATCTCAACCCGGAGAGGCTCAAAATTACAGGTAGAGGCCAGTGGCGTGCGTCAGATTTCATTGAGCCTGAGCTCTACATGCCCTTTTTGGAGCCGCAAATTTTGGAGCTTGCGCATCCAGTTTTTGACCGGGGCATTCCAAATTTTGGGGTAGATGAGCCAGAGACCGTTTTTGACCTCTTCAAGAAATGGGATGATTTGGATTTGTTGGTCTTGCATCCGCGCAGCGAGATCACAACTGGTGACAGTGGGAGGGTTAAGATTTTCAACTCGTACAAGTCAGCAGCAAATGACAGACAGATTGGCGACAGGCGAGAACGCAATGCATGGGAGGGAAGAATCCCTGGGCCCTCATCGGCCCTCCCAGTAGGCCCTCTCATTGGTAGGCTTGTGATACCGGAGGGCTATGGCATCAAGGTTTGCGTGACAGACAGGTCTGACTACTACCATCAGGTAGAGGTCACACATGCCCGAAGCCGCTCCAACATCGTCTGGCCGCCAATGCCTCTGTCAAAGTTTGTTGAGCTGAAGGCCTACCAGAGATATTGTGCTGCAGCAAGAGCTAGCAAAAAGCGGAGAGACCGCACAGTTTTTGGTGATGACTTGGGGGGGCACCGGCCTGGAGTTTTTTCCCAGGAGCCCTCTACGCAAGTTTATGGTGGTTTTGGGGCAATTCTGCAGGGTGATCATTTGGGCGTTGAGTTTGGCATTTCAGCTCATGTTGGTCTTCTCCAATCAGAAGGTCTTCTGCCAGACCGTGGACGCCTTGTAGCAGATGCGTTGGTGAGGCCCTGCGGCCTTTATCAGGGGCTCTGCATTGATGACTTTTTCTGCATAGCTCCAGTTCCCCTCAAGGATTTGCATGAGGGAGAGACAGCACCTCCCAGTGCAGCAAGGAAAGCGTTTGACGTTGCCAAGGCTTGCTACCAGCGTCAAGGGCTTGCAGGGTCTGATCAGAAGGATGTTGTCGACAAGATTCAGGGCACAGTAGTTGGCGCAGAGATCAACTCTAGTCAGAAGTTGGTTTCGAAAGGGGTGCTGCCAGTGGGAGCGCCATCAGCCAAGCGGCTTGCCCTTTCTTGGATAGCTGCCGCTTCAGCCCGCTTGCCTGTCACTTCAGATGCTCTTCACTCTTCACTGATAGGTGGTTTGGTTTCAGTTTTTTGCTACAGGAGATGCAGCATGTCAATCTTACAGGAGGTTTTTCGAGTGATCCCGGCCGAGAAGCTCAACACAGCAGCGCCCATTACCAGGCCCTTGTCCAGGGCAGCAGCAGAGGAGCTTATTTTGTCCTCGGTCCTGCTCCCCATTTTGGTCTCGGACGTGAAGGCGCCCTTCCATGAGTGGCTGTACGCCTCCGATGCCTCCAACAGCAAGGGTGCGTTTTGCGAGGCTCCAATAAGCCGGGAGATCCTTCACCCACTCTGGCTGTCAGGAGACTTCAAGGGTGCTAGGACTCATCTGGATTCAGGGCACAAGGCCTGTTTTGAAGACTCAACATTTTGGGAGGAGGAGGACTGGCAAGATTTCCAGGCCGAGGACACTTTGTGGCCTGATCCCAGTAGCCAGCCATCACCCTCACGCCCCCTTGCACAGCGCTACGACTTCATTGAGGTTTGTGGTGGCTCAGGTGTGGTGTCTGATCAGGTCGCGCTCCTCGGCTACGTTGTTGGGCCCATCATTGACTTGACCTACTCAGAGCATTATGATTTGCTGGATACGAGGGTTGTTGAGTGGCTGATTTTCATGGTGCAGCATCGTAGGGTCAGGGCGGTTGCTTTGGAGCCACCTTGCACAACGTTCAGCCCAGCAGCTTATCCCCCAGTTCGCAGCTACAGGATGCCGAGAGGTTTCAACCAGAAATCAACAAAGGTTTGGGTTGGCAACAGATTGGCTTTTGCTTGCTTGACTATTCTCCTTGTTGCAGCACACTGTTTGGTCCTGGCTCTCCTGGAGACTCCTAGGAGGTCAAAGATGGCGTGGCTTGAGGAGTGGAAGAGGCTCTTGCAGTTGCCAAACGTTGAGGAGACTTTACAGCTTCTTGTTCTTTCGGCAGCCCCTTTCAGAAGGAGTTTCGGTTTTTGGTTGCAAACATGAGGGCGAGTAGCCTTTGCCGGCCATGCACGAGGGATCACCCCCACGTGAGGATACAAGGCCAGTTGACCAAGGGGTCGGCTGTCTACTGCCCAGGACTGGCAAAGGCTATTGCTGGTCTTTTTGCAAAGCACCTTGAGGTCGAGAGGGCGTACAGCCAAAAGCATGCTTTGAGGTGTGATGGATTGGAAAGTGCCTTTGTCAATGAGCTGGTCAAAACTTCAAGTTGGGAAGTTGGCGGTGTTTGGAAGTGGACAGGGAGCTCTCACATCAATATTTTGGAGACTTCAAGTGCGCTGCGGACTGTCAAAGCCGCAGCTTTGAGAGGAGGGGGAAGAACGGCCCTTTTGCTGGACTCAAACGTTGCAGTTAGAGCCATTGCAAAGGGAAGATCATCTGCACGAGCTTTGGGGACCTTGCTCCGAAAAATAGCCTGTGTCTCCTTGGCTTTTTCTGTCTTCCTCTCTGTACTCTTCTGTCCTACCAGACTGAACTGCGCTGACAGCTCAACTCGGTCAGTGCCACTGCGATTCAGGCGAGAGGGCCAGAGTTTTCTGCAGGTTTTGGATTTTGATGGACTTTTCAACCTTGCAGAACTCCCTAGGCAGCGAAGGTGGATTTCCAATTGGGTGAGCCTTTTCCTTGGCCTTTGCCAATAGCCATGTAGGTAGTGCCCACATTTTCCTTTTAATTTGCCTTGTAGTTTGCAGCCATGGAATGTTTCCTCGCAATGGAGACGATGTCAAGCGTGCTGAGCGAAGACTTTCTGCGCCACTGCTTCCTGGCCGCCCTGTGAGGCATGCAACCCGGACAAACAGGGAGAAGCTCCTGGACAGTTTTCGGGAGTGGCTGAAGAAAAAGGGGTTTAGCCTTGATGTCTTGCTGTCTGCTGCGTATGCTGAGCCGGAGTCACTGGTGGTACACCTAGTTGATTTTGGGAAAAAGCAGTATGAAGCTGGCTATCCCTACAATCACTTCGCAGAGACAATCAATGCCATTGGAGCTGCCAAACCGACGGTGCGGAGGTTTCTCACAGCTGCTTGGGATTTGGCCTTCTCTTGGGTGCGCCAAGAGCCAGGGGAGCATCACACTGCATGCCCGTTTCAGATACTGCTGGCGCTTTTGAGTACAGCGATTTACTGGGGCTGGCCAGCAATTGCGGGTGCAATAGCGCTCTCTTGGGGTGCGGTCTGCCGCATCGGTGAAGTCCTGCAAGCAGTCCGACGGGACCTGGTTATCCCAGCAGATGTGATGTTTTCAAGCACTGTCATTTACCTCAAGGTTCAAGAACCAAAGACGCGTTTCAAAGCTGCGCGGCATCAGATGAGCCGTCTTGACTACCAGGATCTTGTGCAGCTGGTTTCATGTGCTTTTGGTCACCTTGAGGCAGACAAAAAGCTTTGGCCATTTTCAGGCCAATTGATGAGAACACGTTTCCGACAGTTGCTGGCGGCAGTAGGTTTGCCCACCAAAACTCAAGGTCAAGAACGTCCTCTTGACCTTGGCAGTCTTAGAGCAGGTGGTGCGACCCATCTTTTGATGATCACGGAAGACTCAGAGCTGGTAAGAAGACGTGGCAGGTGGCTGGCCCATCGCACTATGGAAATATATTTGCAAGAGATTGGTGCTACTGTCATGTTTCCAAGCTTACCAGTTGGTGTGAAGACAAAGGTCATGCAGTTGGCCTATGCCTTTCCTGGTCTCTTAGAAAAGATGATGGAGATTTACTGCCGCTGGAATTCCAGAAACAGCCTGGTACCATTTACTACGGAGTGAACAGATGGGAAAGATGGGTACAATGCCTAGGGCTGCATCAGCTAAACATGCTGATGCCAGAGAAAACGACGCACAGAAGGCTGAGTGAAAGAGACGCAGAGCAACTGGCATTAGTTGTGAGGCTTTGTTTGAACGTGCCTGTGCTCAAGCTGCCCTTCCCAGCTTCGCATCCCCACCCTGGGTACAATGCCTAGGGCTGCATCAGCTAAACATGCTGATGCCAGAGAAAACGACGCACAGAAGGCTGAGTGAAAGAGACGCAGAGCAACTATATATATACACAATTATATACACATGATATACACATGCTTTGCATGTCCCATCTGCCTCATTGGATGCACCAACTTGGCACAGGAGGTGAAGGCGGCCCTTCCTTCGGGCGCGCGGCCCAGCATGGCGCCCAACATGGTGATGGCGAAGGCGAAGGTGGTGCCACCCAAAGGTCCCTGGGAAACGGTGGATGTGGAGAGCTCCGACTGGGAAACACAGCGCTGGAAAACACAGCGACTTGGGCAATTGGTTTTTCCATTTGGCCCGGTTTTTGATGCTTCTTGGGATAGAATAGAAAGTGTGGTGGTGTTTTCTTGTGAATGAGTAGATGCGATACTAGGAGGAAAAGGAAAGGTTTGAGAAAGACGATATGCAAGACAGGCCGTTCCAAAATGTTGTGTAATTGTTGTGGGAAAATCTCAATCTTCAGCTATAAATTCATCTATGGACATGGGGAATGCTGGATTTTCTAACTGTGGGCACTTCTAGCGTGGAAATTGAGGCTTTGCAAGTTCTTTGCCATGGGCACTTGCCAAAAGGCCTTGGGTGGTTGAAGGTTTGAAGACCAGTTGGTCAGCCGTGCTTCAGGGATGGTCTTACTGGTGGTTAACAGTGAGATTAAAACTCAAAAGCCTGGGAGTACAAGTTCCCATGGGCTCCATGGGAGAGCAAAGTTTTCTAGCAAGAAATAGTGCTAAGTTTCTGAAATCTGAAGGCGTTTCCTATCTCCCTGTGGTATTAGCGGCGGAAGTGTGTGATGTTTCCATCTTTTGGATCTGGCATAGTACAGCCTATTTTTTGAATTTCACCGTGAATTCACCATAAAATCCGGCCAAGATGTGGCTGATTTCGTAGCGTGATTTGGCATGTGGATGAGCTATAGCAGCTATGCACATCACATGCAGATTGGCCGTTTCCCAATTTCCAGGGTGAAAATTGCAGCTATGCCCATGGGTCCGATGAGCTTGAAATGTCCATCAGCAGAGGCAGAGGCCACTGGATGGGGAAGCCGCGATAGCCGCGATAGTATACGATGTTGCAGTGGATGCACAGCAAACTTTTCCTACCTTTTGTTCATGGTTTGAACATCCATTTGTCCAGATCCCAACTTCGCTTCGATGGAATAGTTCTCTACTGCTTTGCTGCCAGAGTTGATCTCAAACTTGGTTCCTATTCACCATCCTTTTCCGGTCCAAGCTTTGTGAAGGTGGCACTGTCTTCGCCAGCGGGCCAATCAAAGTGAAAGTGTCTTGGATTGCTGGATGAAGCCGGAGAACTTCCAGAGTGGATGCATATCAGGGGTACTTACAGGAGGATTGGATTGTACAGGAGGATTGGATTGTATTGGACTTGGACTGTATTGTATAGTACTGGTATATATATATATATACATATTATATATAGATCAGTAGATTAATATTGATACTTTGACATTTGATCATAGTATAATGCCCACTAGCCACTTCCTCCATATGTAGGGATATCTTGGGTCCACGCAGCACTCCGCACAGGTGGAAGACACCAATTGAGAGGGACACGGTGGTCGCCCAGCAAGAAAAAGGGGCACTTGACGATGGGACATGGGATGCACTTGGGACTTGGAACACTGAAATGACCAAAAAATGGCCTGAGTCGAAACTCAGACCATTCATTTTCGACAAATGTGAGTTAAACAATGGCGTATGTTCATTCAAATTTGTCCAGAAACAGACTTACCAAAAACACGTGATTTTTTCACACCGCTCAACAGCTAGATTTTATTCCTGCTGTGCTTGGCACTTGATGCTTGGAAGAGCCATTGTAGCGTAGATGTTGAGATGTCCAGCAGCATATCACCCAAAAAAAGCAGAATAACCAGCAACAAAAAACCCTCAATCCTGAAGTACAAAAACGATATGTAGACCCCTCAAAGACAGTTTTTCATTTGCTGCTTGTACTTGTCTAGTTCAGTGAGTAACTATACTTCATGACATGTCGCCATCATGTCACTGTGATCTTCGGAATTTCGTCACCTTGTGTCATTGTACCTCTTCAGCATGGGCGCCATGATGGCTGATCTTGAGGCCGGGGTGATTTTGGGCCTCAAAGATATGTTGTCCCTGGCGACTCATTGCGCTGGATACGTTTGTTTGTGGAAAAAATGTTGGGGCTCTCTCAACCATTGCGCTGGCGTGCGATGTTCGAATTTCGTGGCATTGGCCACAACGGTTGCGCCGGGTTTAGCGCGAGTAGAATAACGGACAAAGAGTCAAAGGCCAAGGTTGGAAGGTTACGCACTTTGTGGAAAGCGGTTGAAAACGTCTCAAAAGATGGTGGTGATGTTTGTCTGTTGCTTTATCCCCGAAGACATCGGCTTGTGTGCTTTCGCTGTCAGGGTTGTCCTTGCAAACATCTACCACAATGCTACACAAATTCACTACACAAATGCTACACAAATGTGGCCAGCCTGAGGCTTCCAATACAGTGAACCAAGGTTTGCATCACCGAACAAGCCGTGTGCTCCCCAGCAATTATGGACGATCAAGATCCGCATAGATCCGCAGTAACCGACACTTTTCTAATTAGTCATTCAATCTTGTGGAGTAAAGCAGTGCATTGTGCAAAAGTAAGCAGTGCGGCGTCCCCGGCGCACTGCTTCAAACAACAGTTGGGTAACCGGTTCTCCGGGCGCCAAAAGCAGTGGCCGCAGCAGCACCTGGAAACCGAACACAGTGACCAAGCAGTGCAAGCGCGGTGGCAACATGGGCAACATGCTGATGACGATAGCAGACAGCAACAGACAGCAACAAGGAGTCTGTAGAAACTCTCGCAGAATCGCATCAAAGCGGCACTTGAGGCGGGAAAGCCGCGGCTGTCAACACGAGATGTTTTCATCATGATCTTGGGAGGCAGCAGAACCCGTGGCACCAGTGGTGCCTTACAGAAGTGGCACGTGCAAAAGGATGTAGAAGGTTTCTACCATGTGGCAGCTGCATTCCTTATCCAAATCGCTTGTGTGACGCCCAAAAACCAATGTAGCAATATTGCTGGCTTCAGGGCATCCGTTCTTTACACAAAGCTGCGTTCAAGAAGGAAAAAGAAAACAGAAGTGGCTTCAGTTGCAAGCCAAAATGGCCCCACCACCAGCCATAGTGTCTTTGTTTGCCTGGCAGCATCTTGCGGCACTAGCTCAAAATCCCACTGGAAATCATTCGCTGACAGTGTTCCATGATTGTCCATCCAGTGTGTCATCAGCATCAAGGGATGCTTGCCATCACGCATTGTCCAACCCATCACATCCGATGATTGAACATTTTTCTGCTATGGGCAGCATCAAGTTGAACTCAATAGTTTCTTGTCAAAGGAAACTATAAGCGACCACAACATCAAGCACTTGAAGCACGAAGTCCAAAACAATAAAGCACATCACTGTTGAAGATGAGTACCGTGTCCTATGCCATTCGGGTAGACATGTATTGCTGGCGAAGCTCTTGGGATTTGGATTCTTCACCAAGTATTTGTTTTGAACGTGTCCTTGGAGAAACTTCACCACTACGACCTCCTACTCCGAAACAGTTGTGTTTGCACGGTACCGGTGAATTTACATTTGTTTTCTGGCATGTTGCCAGCGGAACTTGTGCTATACAACCCCACTTGCAAACTTGCATTCAGAAACCGATGAAGAAAAGAAACATGTTGCCGCGATTGCCATCGACATAGGAAGAGATAGTCGATCATAGTCGACCATGATCAAATGTGGTACATTGCAGGTGATCGCCTGAAACGATGCTTTCATGCACATCTTTTTCAAAGGACAACTCTCTGCATATCTACTAAGGGGTTGAAGTTATCAAACTTCACAATTTCTGGCCAAAACAATTCGGATCTTCGGACGTTGCTCAAGTAAACGATTCTTGTCGAAACACCTTGCAACTCCATTTGGCCAGTTTTGTGTTGTGAACCCTTGGTGTTTTTGTTTTTCTATTGGCCCACAGTGTTTGGACTCAACGATTTGAAACCATTGCCTCGTTTGGAATTGCAATTGTTCCAACACACGCTCATGATTAATATTGGTTGAATTGAAGAAACGATGAAACTCAACAGTTTTACAGTGAAAGGCGGGCAGCTTCAATGAAACATCGTGGAACGTCCCACACGTTTTCTCTCCTCCACGTTTTCCGGCACAAGGGCGCTGTGATTTTTGACGCAAACAATATCTTTCGAAACATTTGTTTTCGCTCACGCCGCCTATAACGGTCCCATGCTTTTTTGCTACTTGTGAATTCAAGATGACATGCATCATGTTTTCGTTTTATGTTACATAGACATTCCCGTTGTGGTCTTGTCATTTCCCACACTTGTGACAGATGCATGTTTCAGGGATGTTGTGCACGTTTTTTCAAAGATGGTGTGCGCGTTTTTTCAAAGATGTTGTGCAGGCTTCACAACAATGTCGACAAATGATCATAGAACTATTGTAAGGCGGAGTTGAAGGGGGTGGGGTGGGCTTGGGGGTAGGGGGTTGGAACGTACAATACGCTTTTGATGCTACGCTCCTGATGGCCTCTTGGAACTTCTAACAAGCTCGTGGTGCTATGGTCTTAACTTCCCTTTGTAATTTCCAACGTGTTGCCTCGTGATGCTAGGCTCGTATCTTCCTATGTTGAATGATCAGATTCGGGAGTGCACACATAGTTTTACATTTTTGGGGGTGCGATGTGGCACACGATGCGAGGTTGAAACAACCTGGCATCGTGGCAAACGGTTGCAAGTGTAAAACAACTAAAAATATGATATCAAAACATAGGAACCAAAAAAACAAGACAATTGTAAATTTGCGAAAACGATGCCCAAATCATCCCAAATCATGCAAATTCCAATGAAAAAAACATGCAAAATAGACGTCATGTCAAAAGGCTGAGGCCACAACTTTTCCAGGGCTAAAACTGGACACAGCGCTGTTGAAAAGAAAATTCGCATTGCGCGGGCCGCTACAGGCGGCCTGACTTGGTCTTTTGTACCAGGATAGATGGGGCTAATGGCCGTCGACGAATCATGCAAAACATCTGACGCATCATTTTGCAGAAATTTGGTGCCGCGAGCAAAATTAATTTGTTAAAAATCGTCTTAAATCAAACGTGGACAGGTCAAGGGCCGTGTTTGCTGCAACAATAGACCACTTGATGCTAACGGATACGATTCCAAGCATTCCCAAGCCGTATCGGCCCAGAAAAAATGGCTGCAGTTACATTGGGTTCTGGATGCGTGGGGCCAGGCGTAGGCCAGGACCTGGTGGATTTTTTTCTCCACGAACCAAAACACCAAAACAATATTGACTTGGAACATTTTGAACATGTTTTGGTGTTATGCCAGTGATGCTGTGCTCTCTGCCGTGGCACACCGATTCCCACGATCATCGGTACAGAATCTTCTGAGGCTTGCTCAAGCAGATAAGGTTCAATATGGTTTGCGGCTTAAGCGTAATAGGGACAAGAGAAGGGAATCATTGCCGCAACAATGGAGGAAATCATGGTTGGAATGCCAATATTTTTTTTGTGTGGTATGAATTTTGGATGAGGGATTTCAAACAGTCGAAACTTGTGCCTGTCAATGGTTTTTGTTGTTGCACGGGGCTGATTTTGTCAGTGCGATCTCGTGTAGAGGTCTTGACAAGGCGATTTTTTTTGCAGAGAGCTTGCGCGCGGATCTTGAGAAGAGACCTCCCCCCACAGAAATGTGGCGACGAGACCTTGTGTGGAGATTTCGGCCCGAGACTTTGCACAGAGACCGTGATTAGACTATTCCCCACCTGCCAGGTGAGGGTTGTTAGATTTTATCAGAGTTGTTCTCCTTTTTCTCCTTCTCCTCCTCCTCCTTCTCCTCCACCACCTCTGCATCCACTTCCAGGTCCACTTCTGCCACTTCCATGTCCACTTCCGCCTTGCCAACTCTTCGCCAACTTCCGCACGCAGTGGGCACTGCTGGACCTCAACTGCAAGGGTCTGAGCGCACTGGGCACCGCTGGACCTCAACCTGGGACCTTCCGAGCTCAGTGAGCACCGCTGGACCTCAACATGGGACCCGCCGAGCTCAGTGAGCACCGCTGGACCTCAACCTGGGACCCGCCGAGCTCAGTGAGCACCGCTGGACCTCAACCTGGGACCTTCCGAGCTCAGGGAGCACCGCTGGACCTCAACCTGGGACCCGCCGAGCTCAGTGAGCATCGCTGGACCTCAACCTGGGACCTTCCGAGCTCAGGGAGCACCGCTGGACCTCAACGGCCAGATAGAATGCCAGAAGATATGCCAGATAGAAGGCCAGATAGAATGGCAGATAGAACGCCAGAAGATATGCCAGATAGAACGCCAGATAGAATTTCAGATCGATTGCCAGAAGATACGCCAGATAAAATGCCAGAAAATATGCCAGATAGAATGCCAAAAAATATGCCAGATAGAATGCCAGAAGATATGCCGGATAGAATGCCAAAATATATGCCAGATAGAATGTCAGATAGAATGTCAGCAGGTATGCCAGATAAAGTGCCAGAAGCTATGCCAGATAAAGTGCCAGAATGTTTGCCAGATAGAATGCCAGAAAATTTGGCAGATAGAATGCCAGATGGGATTTTAGAAGG